CCATCCATTCCAGGACAGCATGAGCGACCTGGGTCTGGCGCTGATTTCCTCCGGCACCACCATCTTTCTAGCCATGATCAGTGACTGGGACCTTGGATTTTTCCTCTGAAAAGATAGGCTTAGTGGGTGCTAACTTGGGATATTTGCGGATTTTCTATGGTTTAATATGGTTCATAAAAGGGATGATCATGCGAAAATGATGGGATAATACTGGGATATTAATGGATATACCCTCTGGTAATTCCACATAGCTATTGACTATTGAAAATGGTCATTTAGTTCGTTGATCTACATCGTAAGAATGGTGATTTTCCAGTTCGCAAACTGCTAGTCTACCAGAGGGAATCTACCATGAATGTAGATCATGTTCGGAACGGAAACCATGGTTTTTTCACATCTATGTTAGTTTACTCCAGGGTATATGTTGGGTAAAAACACCACGAAATATCTGATAGTAACTGATAGTAACTGATAGTAACTGATAGTAACTCACGAAGATTGAGAGAGTAATTCTTCACCATTTTCGTAGGACACTACTTATGGATCTTTTTTTGGGGCTATAGATTTATCCAGATTTTTTCACCATGCAAAAACACCACTTTTTGATGGTGAACTCCGCCACAGCAAGGTGCCATCTTCGCTATGCGCCTCTTTCGCGAGATGCTGCGGCCACAGGCCACAGGGGCGCAAGGTGGGCAGGGCGACATGCAAGGCGCGGGTGGAAGGGTCGGGCAACAAGTGCTGGGATGGAGTTCAGGCTGGAAAAGTGTGGGGATAAAATCGATTACCCTCTGGTTATTTAACAGTTTGCCATGGAAAATCACCATTTTTAATAGGTAAACCATCTATAAATGGGCCATTTTCCATGGCTATGTTAAATAACCAGAGGGTAAAATTAACCACATTTTGAGATATTTTGGGAATCTGGGGAGAATTTTTGAGGTATACAATCCAAGATTTTAGGATATGACAGATTTACGGCCAACAAATTCAAAATGAAACTCCAAACTGGATCAAATTGACCATGTATCCAATTGTGGGGTTTCATGTTAAATTGAGAGGGTGTACTGAGGGGTAGCCTAGGGTATTTGTCATCAACCATTGTATGGGAATATGGAGGTATAATGGAATATTATGGGATCGCGGACGAGTAGTTCAGTGTAGTACGGCAAGCCCCTCCGTGAAGTATTCCATTCTCCCCCAAGAAACCGTGGTTTGATCGGGAATTTACACATATTTGGGACAATTTATGGGATGTTGACTGGAGATGGGAGATGTGATTAGTCATTAGTCATAGTATGTCATAGTCATGACCTCATACTTGTATTACCCTCTGGTAATTTAACATAGCTATTGAACATGGCTATTAATGGCTGATTTACCTATTAAACATTGTGTTTTTCCATCGTTTTTTGTATGTTGACCATTGGTAAACAACTCCACTTGCTGCACTTTCAGGGAGCCACGGCTCTCTATTCCCATCGATGGTTGAAATCATCTCACCATGATTTCTGGGGATCAAATGGTTGAAATCTCGCGTCATGGTTTTCCAGTTTGGGAGTCGCCATGGTCGAAGCCCAGCCCCCATATTTTAAACGGACGGCTTATGAATGCTCAAGCTCCAGATTCTCCAAAAAATTCTCTCCTGCTTGGTGGTGACTGGAACATTTGGGATAACCAATGGGATATTAACGGATTAATTATAGTGCTTAATGGTGGATAATGGTGGTTAATGATGGTTAATGAGATTTCTGGTTGGTGGTTTGGAACCTGATTTTCCCATGATATTGGGACTGTCAGCATCCCAACTGACGAAGTCCATCATTTTTCAAGATGGTTATGGCAGCACCAACCAGATTCTCTCTATGTCACCAAGAAAATCGCCATGTTTCAGCGAAAATCGCCACCCTCCCAGGTGTGTTGCAACTGGAGGTCCCGGGCGTGCAACCCTTTCGGCCCTTTTCGGGACAAGGGCATCGGCTGATCATGGAAGCCGACAAGGATCCCGATCGGGTCGATTTTTTGAGATATATGTGGCAAAAAACAGCAGAATAAGATCAACATTTATGTGATTGGTGATCATATAATATCAGATGTGTGATTTACATTCTAGAATGGAATCATACATATATCAAAGAAAAGTTGTTGAGATCACACACACACACAATGCACCACTGTTTCTATGCAAGTGTTTTTTAGTCTACAGGAATAACATGAATAAACAATGAACGAGAAACAATGACATCGATGTCACTGACTAAGTACATATTAAAGTACCAATATGCCAATATTGTGGCGTTTTTGTTGATCTTTACGCTGGTTGACCGCTGCCGGGAGGACGACGCCTCTGGCGGAGCTGCTGCCAGTGGGGAGCGGGAGCCCCGGTGAGGCTACGCCGCCGCTGTTTCAACGTTTCAACCCGAGCGCCCGGTGGGTGGCCAGATGTCAAATCAACAAACAAACGGCAAGTACCCTCTGGTTATGTCAAAATAGCTATTGAAAATGGCCATAGAAATAGTGGATTTTCCCATTGAAAATGGTGATTTTCCATAGCTATGTTAGTTCACCGGAGGGCACACCATTTGCGGTGGAGATTCAAGCAGCATGAACGCTTTTTTTTGAAGGATATCTAAGAGTATTTATGAACTACAACTAACATAGCTACTGAAAATCACCATTTTCAATGGGTAAATACACTATTTCAATGGCCATTTTCAATAGCTATGTTAAATTACCAGAGGATATTGAACTCCTGGATTTCAAAACTTTGAATCAGGGTGAAAACCATGTTTCACCAATATGCTGATCGTTTTTCAAGATGGCAGTTTTTTCGATGGCACCCACTGACACAAACATCAAATATGGCCATGGCAGCCATGCCGGTGGAGCTACGAATTGAGTTTAAATTAACATAGCCATGGGATAGATGGTCCATAGAAATAGATGGTTTACCTATGAAAAATGGTGGATCTTTCCATGGCAAACTGTTAAATAACCAGAGGGTATCAATGGTCATGCAACAGGAACCGAGAATTATTGGAGGTACCGATTCCATATATTTTTGGCCTATGTTTTAGGCCTATGTAAGGGGATATACCATTCATACATTGACTATTGTCTTAACGAAAAGAACAGCAGCAAAAGCAAAACCAGTGAAATTCCATGGCAGCTTCCAATATGAAAATCATAGAGGCCATGCCTTCATGAGCGATGACATTTTTTTGGGAATCCTCATGCGCAATCTATCCTGGCAAAGACATCACCGTTTTTCAAATGACACATGGACTTAAAAATCAGCCAGATTCAGGTGATTCATCCGGTTTTTTCAACAGCGGTTTTCTTGGAAAGTCTGGCCTCGAAACGGATGATTTTCGCTGGCCCAGGTTGAATTAGGACCTAGAAGACCCCCAGGGTGGTAACAGATCAACGATTATCCACCTGCGGTAGTGGCAGCCTGCTCTGTGCCATTCATGGTAGCCCCGGGTTGCTGGAATACTGGTGGTTGGTTGGTCAATAGCTTGGCTTCTAGGCACTTTTAGGCACCATGTTTGGGGCAAGATGGTTTCGTATTTTATAGGGATAATAATGTGTTTTTAATGGGATGATAATAGGATCATAGTAGGATATCAATGGATACACACGCTGGTGTCATCAAACCTAATTAGTTCGGAAGACGATCCAGAACTAAGTACAGGTGTATCAAATAGGCACAGTCATCATGGTGAACTTTATCCCCCGCAGCTTTGTTGGGAACAAATGCCAAATAACATCAGATAACATCAAATAACATCAAATATTATCATTAATTATTCACAACAAAAGGGGTTAGGACATACCATGATGGTGAAACAAACAAACTAGCTTTTTTTTTCACCGTGATAGATGGGCTTGAGAGGTCCTATCATCCAGCTGTCGCCTGTAAAGTACCATGCGAGAGCACAGCTGTGACCGCACACTGCCAGAAAAAAAAGGATTTGATTTACCGCCGTCTTATGGCAGTTTTGATGGGAAAATTTGTGGTGATCATGGCATTTGCTTTCCATTTGCCCCTGCAATTTCTCGGGAAGATATGGAAAACGGTGAGGCTTTCAATGATGGGATTTTTCCGAACGGATGCCATGAGCACTTCGAAGCAGCCCAAACCGGCCTGGACGGCAGATGAACCGCCGGGATGGAAATGAGACAATCCACATCTGGTTGGTGGTTTGGAACATTTTTTTTTCCCATAATACATGGGATAATCCTTCCCATTGACTTTCATATTTTTCAAGATGGTTTTTTTAACCACCAACCAGACATGTGTAAATGGTGAAATCCCAATTTTTCACAGTGAACCTTTTACCCCTTTGGGATGCAGTCAAACTTGGAGGACTCGACCAGTGGCCGGCTGCATCAGGGGGGGATTTTCCAGCCAGAAAAGGGTCGTCCCAGGGATCGAGTCAGTGCTTGAAAAAGCCTGGCTATGTTACAGCCCCCAAATGCGTTGGCTTATCCCATGCTTCTGACTGGGTTATGAAGGGGTTATAGCATGTTATCGAACTATGTTATACCTGTTATATGTTATACCTATGGTTATACTATGGTTATAACATATAATAACTATGGTAAAAAAACCTGTTATGTTAGAATGATCCTCCAGCCGTAGCTTTGTCCAAAATGGATCTACTATGTACGGCTGGAATAGTCGGGGCATCCCCCTGAAATCCAGCCGTAGAAACCATCGGTTGTCGGGGCATGCCATGGTCGTGCCTCCTTTATTGGGTCAATTTCAATCGTGGTAACGGCTGGAACATTCCATAAATGACGGTAAAAATAGCTGGGAAAATCGGAAATCCTCGAATTAGAAGGATTCTTTTCCATTGTCATGTTTGATTACCGGAAGGTATATCCATGAACATCCCATTATTCTATATTATTATCACATATTATCACATTCTACCCACAAAATCCAGTACTTCCAGGCACTTTTCGTGATAGAAAAAGGGGTCAGCCGATTTCAGGTCCTTCCCAACTCTTTGGGAGAGTCCTTGCTGGGCGAAGATGCAAGGTTCGACAGGTGTGCTGAGGGCCGTTTTTTGTGATACATCGTTGAGACTTTTATCAACCACAAAGGCCCCCCCAGGAAACAATACTGGTTGGTGGTTTGGAACATTTTTCATTTTTCCATATATTGGGGATAAGTCATGATCCCAACTGACTTTCACTCCATCATTTTTCAGAGGCGTAGGGCTCAACCACCAACCAGCTGGTTGCTGTGTCAGCAATACACATGGGGAGTTCCTCCAAGAATCCGATGCAATGGAACATCCAAAGCTGGCTTCGACAGCGTTGATTCATCCTATTTCAATGGGTACCCGGCCTGGTAAACATACAAAAAGCTATTGAACATGGCCATAGAAATAGTGGATTTTCCCATTAAACATGGTGGATCTTTCCATAGTTTTTTTGTATGTTTACCAGAGGGTAAATCACATGTAAGCATGGTGACTTTCCATCATGCATGTTGGATGACGGAAGGCCAGTGCTTGGATTATCGGAATAAGAGGCCACTGGAAATCAGACTTTTCAACATGCGAAGCATGGCTCCAGCGTTGGAGAGCTTTCCGGCACGCCATGTTGGAATGCTGGAGGGTCGTGCAAAATATGGTCATTCAATGGATTGGTTTAAGGGAAAATTTACAGGAAACCATAGATTTTCCCATTAAATATGGGGCTTTCCTGTAAATTTTCCCTTAATCCAATCCATTGAGTCATTGAATACTGGTGGAGATGATGAACCATGGTAGATGAGGGGTATGCGGGGGTGGGACAAGACCAAACAGATTACTTAGGACCGTCCATACTTTTTAGAGGTGCCAATTTCCACAAAGATGATGACCACATACAGTGGACTATATGGCAAAATAGATTGTCTTTGCAATTGTGATATATCACACACACACATATATATATATATATAGGGTTTCTCAAACATGGGAATCTCACCATGATGTAAGAACATGTAAGAACAATATAAGGACATAAACAATGATGAAAAAGGCATTGAACAATGAACAACAATAAACTACCATCTGGTTATTTGACATAGCCATGGAAAATCACCATTTCAAATAGGTAAACCATCTATAAATGGGCAATTTTCCATGGCTATGTTAAATAACCAGAGGGTAAAAACACATAACCCATGATGATCCGTTTTTTGCTGGATTTTGCGCCAACAATATTTCCAAGATGGTCGCTACACCCCAAGTAATCGCTGGCAATTGACAGTCCCAAGTCCCACTGCTATTGGGATCATCGGCCAAAAATGGGTGATTTTCCAACCGGATGTTCACATTTCTGGAGTGTATAAGCCTATTCTTTTTACACATTACCACCCCCCAACTATCCCCAACCAACACATTTTTCTTGGCCAAACCACCGATTTTGTTGATTGAATTCCCGTTTTTCTTCGTTGAATCCGTACTTTTTGTTGGTTAAAATGCAGTACCATGCTGGCTGAAGCTCCATTTAACCCATGGCCTAGGCATTGTTGAGCCATGAGCGATTTTCCTGGTTAGGAACTGGGTTATAAACCACAGATTTTCCTCATGACATGATATCAATGGGAATTCCAGGATCCTAAAATGGAGGTACTGTACCATATGTTTGGCCATATTTTGCTGGGGATATCCCCTTACATAGGCCTAAAAAATAGGCCTTATATATGGAATCGGCACCTCCAATCAATCGGATCCTGAGTCATGGCCATTGATGAAATATACCAATGATTAACCATCATTCATTAACCATTATTAACCATTATTAACCACTACTAATCACCATTTTCCTATGGTTTTCCTATGGTTTTTCCATCCATTTACTGACTCGTTCACTAACTCGATGCTCCATCTGAGTTGATCCCACATCCCATTCTTCTCCCATTATCCCTATAGACCCATGGTGTAAAAAGAGTTAGAAGTTGGTTATATAGTTGGTTTATAAACCCCCATGAACTATAGTCTCTATAGTTAGTATATCTACCATAAACCGTAATTTTGAACCATAGTTAAGACTTAAGTTAAGACCCATAGTTACTATACCTACTATAGTTACTGTATCTACTATAGTTACTATATGTACATATATGTACTATAAACCATGGTTAAGACCATGAAGTTCCGTGGATCCATCCGTTTTAAAGATGCCAGATGTGGCTGGTTTCCATCCTTGCGGGGGGTGGACCTTTGGCCCCTTTGGCCGCCCCGGAGGTGAGGAAGTGGGAGGGACAAAGGAATGGAGGTTTTGCCCGGCCTGGGAAACCATAGGAAAACCATAGGAAAACCATAGAACATCGATTGCGAGCTTAGTGCGGCCCGCTATTTCACACCCAGCCAGCCAGCCGGCCGGCCGGCCGGCCGGCTGGCCAAAAACCAAGCACCAGCTGGCCGGCTGGCCGGCCGGCCACAAACCAAGCCCCAGCTGGCCGGCCGGCCGGCCACAAACCAAGCCCCAGCTGGCCGGCCGGCCGGACGCCACAAACCAAGAACCAGCTAGCCACCGTGGCGCCAGCTGAAGCCAAGCGACAGCCAGCCAGCCAGCCAGCCAGCCAGCCGGCGGGCCAAAAACCAAGCCCGGCGAATGAAATTAATGAATGCAATGAAAGAAACGACTGACATGAATGCAATGAATGAAACACATGAAATGAATAAAGCGAATGAAACGAATGAAAGAAGTTCATTGAATGAAAATGAATGAAACGAATGAAACGAATGAAACAAATGAAAAGAACCAAACGAATGAAGCGAATGACATGAATGAAACGAATGAAGCGAATGCAACAAAAGAAATGAATGAAATGAATGAAATGAACGAAAGACATGAAATCATTGAAATGGCTGAATTGAATGAATTGAAAGAAATGATCCAAATACATGAAATGAATGAACTGAATGAATGGAATGAAATGAATGAAGCGAATGAATTGAACAAAAAACATGAAAGGAGTGAAACAAATGAAACACATGAAATGAATGAAATGAGCGAAAGGAATGACATGATTTCAATGAGTGAAATGGGTAAACTGAATGAAAGCAAAATGAAATGACTGAAATGAATGAAAAAACTGAAATCTCTCAAATGAATGAAACGAATGAAACGAATGAAACAAAGACATGAATGAAATGAATGACATGAATGGAATGAAAGAAATGAACGACATGAAAGAAATGACATGAATGAAAGGAATAACAGGAATGAAATAACTGAAGCAAATGAAAGGAATGAAATGATTGAAAGGCTTGAAATGAATGAAATGAATGAAATCACTGAAATGAATGACATGACTGAAATGAATGAAAGGAATGAAATGCATGAAATGAATGAAACAAATGAAAAGACTGAAGCGAATGAAAAAATGAAAGGAATGAAACGAGTGAAGCGAATGAAACAAATCAAATTGAAAGCAATGAATGAAGTAAACTAAATGAATGAAAATTGTGAAAGAACTGAAATGACTGAAATGAGAGAAATGAATGAAACAAATTAAGGGAATGAAACGAATGACATGAATGAAATGAATGAAGTGCATGAAGCGAATGAAACACATGAAATGAAATGATGAATGAAATGAATAAACCGAATAAACTGAATGAAAAGAACGAAATGATGAAATGAATGAAAGAAATCAAATGACTGAAATGAGTGAAATGACTGAAACACATGAACGAAATGAAATGAATGAAACGAATGAAACGAATGACATGAAGGCAATGAATGACATGACCGAGATAAATGAAATGAATGACGCGAATGAAATGAATGAAATGAATGAAATGAATGAAATGAAAAAATGAATGAAATAAATGAAACACTGAAATGAGTGAAATGAATGGAATGAAACAAATGAATGAAATGAATGAAATGAATGAAATGAATGAAATCAATGAAATCAATGAAATCAATGAAATGAATGAAACGAATGAAATGAACGAATTGAACGAAATGAATGAAATTCATGAAACGCATGAAATGAGTGAGATGAATGAAACGAATGAACCAAATAAAACGAATGAAATGAAATGACTGAAGCTAAAAATAATTCAAATGAAGGATGAAACGAATGAAGCGAATAAAAGCAATTAATGAAACGAATGAAATGACGAAATGAATGACATGAATGAAATGAACGAAATGAATGAAACGAATGAAATCAATGAAACGAATGAAATGAAAAAAAGAATGAATGAAAAAAAGAATGACATGAATGAATCGATGAAAGGAGTGAAATGAATGGAATGATACACATGAATGAAACGAATGAAATGAATGAAACGAATGAAATGAAAAAAATGAATAAAGTGAATGAAACGATGAAAGGAGTGAAATGAATGGAATGATACACATGAACGAAATGAATGAAATTAATGAAAGGAATAAAATGAATGAAATGAATGAAGCGAATGAAAACAATGAAGCAAATGTAACGAATGAAACAAATGGAACGAATGAAAGGAATGAAACGAATGAAATGAACGAAATGAATGAAATGAATGAAACGAATGAACCGAACAAAATGAATGAAGCGGAAAAAATGAGTGAAATAAATGAAATTCATGAAACGAATGAAGCGAATAAAAGCAATGAAATGAACGAAATGGATGACATGAACGAAATGAATGAAATGATTGAGATGATTGAAATGACCGTAATTTCTGACATAATTGAAATGGCTGAAATGAAATGAAATCAAACGAAATGATTTGAAATGAATGACATGAATGACATGAATGCAACGATCGAAACGAATAAAGTGTACGAAATGAATGAAATGTATCAAACGACATGAAACGCAATGAAATGAGATGACATGACATGAAATGAATGAAGCGAATGAACCAAATGAACCGAATGAAATGAATGAATTGAACGAAATCAACGACAAGAATGAAAGGAATGAAACGCATGAAATGAATGAAACGAATGATATGAAGGAATCGAATAAAACGAATGACATGAATGAAATGATTGAAATGAACGAAATGAATGAAATAACTGAAACGAGTGAAACGACTGAAATGAATGAAACGAATGAAAGGAATGACATGAATGAAATGAATGACATGAATGAAAGGAATGAAATGATTGAAATGAAGGAAATTAATGAAATGCATGAAATGAATGAAATGAATGAAACGAATGAAACGAATGAAACGAATATAGTGAATGAAATGAATGCAATGACTGAAACAAGTGAAGCGAATAATATGAATGAAACGAATGAAGCGAATGACATGAATGAAATGAATAACATGAATGACAGGAATGAAATGATTGAAATGAAGGAAATTTATGAAATGCATGAAATGAATGAAATGTTTGAAACGAATGCAAGGAATGAAACGAATGAAACGAATTGCATGACTGAAGTGAATGACATGAAGGAAATGAATGAAATGACTGAAATGCACGAAATGAATGAAACGGATGAAGCGAATAAAAGTAATGAAATGAACGAAATGAACGAAATGAATGGCATTAATGAAATGAATGAAATGACTGCAATGAAGCAAATAACCGAAATGAATGAAATCAAAGAGCAAACCCGCGGACCACACTTTGTGCGAGCCTGCTCAATCGAAACGCATGTCAAGATTTCACAAGAGCCACTTCATACGGAAAATTACAGGAAGAATGCCCAGAACGCGGACACACACACACACACACTGTGCGCGAGCCTGCGTAGTCGAAACGCATGTCAAGATTTTATACGCGACGCGTTATACGAAAATTAACAGGTAACAGGCCGCAGAAGAGAATGACCACCCTGATCAAGCACCAACCTTCGCATCTACCGTCAGAACCCCTCAGTGTAGACACACTGTTTGGGGAAGAATGTTTTTACATTCTAGCTGCCAAATAAATTCCGACCTTCAACCTAACATTCTATCTAACACTAACATATTTCCTCTAACACATATTCCAGTTTTATCACCTACTCTGTCTACCATTTTTCAACATTCTATCTAACATATATGCTATCTACCTAACATTTCTGTGGTCACACTATCGCATATTTCATTTGAGATTCTTACAGCTTACAGAATTTTAACATGTCCCATTTAGCACTTACTGTAACTAATATCCGGAACCAAGTAGCTAGGCCCACCAGCCGAGCCAGCGTGCCAGCCAGCCAACTAGCCAAGCAGCCAGCCAGCCGGCCGGCCGGCCAAAACCTTAGCCAATTGGAGGTACAGCCAGCTGTCAGCCGGCCGGCCGGCCGGCCAAGACCTTAGCCAATTGAAGGCACAGCCAGACAGCCAGCCAGCCAGACAGCCAGCCAGCCAGCCAACGAAGCAGCCGGCCGGCCGGACGTAGCTCATACACACGCCTAGCCGGCCGGCCGGCCGGCCGGAATCAACACAGACTGGCCGGCCGGCCGGGCAAGAAATAGCAGGCCGAATTCCCCGCACAGTCGAACATCATGGGAAAACCATGGGAAAACCATGGGAAAATGATGATTTATATGGAAAGATCCACCATTTCTGGGAAAGATCCAACTATTTCGACTGGGCCATGGCTTCAAGTTCGCTGTTTGTGTTAGTTTAGCCTCTGGTAACATCACCGTCATAACATGGGAAACCCATAGGAAAATGGAGGTTTTAATTGGATTAACATGGATTAACATGGATTACCCTAAATGTAATTTAACATGGCTATTGAAAGTCACCAAATTTAATGGGTAAATCATCTATAAATGCTAATGTGCCATGGCTGTGTTAAATTACCAGAGGGTACCCTCTGGTAAACGTTTACAAAAAACGATGGAAAGATCCACCATTTTGTTGCCGATCAACTATTTCTATGGCCATGTTCAATAGCAATCACCTGTTACCCTCTGGCAAACTAACAAAAAAGTATGAAAAATCATCATTTTTAATGGGAAAATCCACCATAAATGGCCATGTTCCAGTTCGCTTTTTGTATGGCTATACCAGGCCGGGTAATGGGAGATTTCACCGTCATAGGATGAACACTATCTGCAAAGAAGATTAGGACCCTCCAACACTTTTGTCAATTTGTCCTCATCTTTGGAGTGTTGAAAAAGCAGCAATGAAAGTGTGTTTTCAATTTTCATCAAAACCCGATCATTTGAGCTCGCTACAAACTGTGAGACCGAGCGAAACAAAGGGTTCTGAAACCCCATGTTCAGGTCCAGTACGAAATAGCGCATGGAAATGAGCCTTTCCGTGAGCCAACGTGACAAGCCAAGGGGTCACTTCCCTAGAAAATCTAGCCTCTGGTAAACTAACATAGCTATTGAAAATGGCCATTGAAATAGTGGATTTACCCAGCTACAAAATGGTGTATCTTTCCATAGTTATGTAAACGTTTACCAGAGGGTACAGGGTTCATTGAAACGACCTGAAATTTATCTTTGAAGACCTGTTCAGGACTTGCCGCAGGGACTCTGTTTCAACACCAAACTCACCTTCAAAGACCCATCGCATGGGAGCCTAACCAATTCTTGTTGGATCCCTGATTACTTTTGGAATGCTGGAATTTCTTTGTTTTTCACCGATATATGCTGTTTTTTTTCCCGGAATCCTCACTTTTTTCGTTTCAGCTTGATGAATTATCATAGTTGATCCACAGCAATTGCTGATGGTTTCAACCCCATTTGGGATGAGCGGAAATCAGCGGAAATCAGTGGGTAAAAAGACATCCATTTGTTGGAATCGGAAGCGGCTCAAACTTGCCTCAGCCTGATCGCTTTCCCATTAACCCGTGGCCAAAAACGCCAAAATGTGGGTTTCCCTTGTGGCGGCAATGGCAGCAGTTTCCATGGCCTGTTTGGGGGTTGGGACTTGGCTTACCGGCTTTCCCGATGGGAAATGATCAAATGGTGGATTCAGAACATCTCCATGTTCGTTTGCTCGAGATCGATTTGTTTTACCCTGGTAATTTAACACAGCCATGGTATAGATGGCCCATAGAAATAGCTGGTTTACCGTTCTTAATAGCATGGTGGATCTTTCCAGTTCGCAAACTGTGAACGTCATAACCAGGTGGTATAACCTCCATTTTTCTATGGTTTTCCTATGGTTTTCCCAGCTATAAACCTCCTTTTTCCTATTCGATTGGTGGTTGTATCGGTTGTATCACCGTGAAATCAAGCCACCATCCTCATCAACGAAGCATTCTCATCAAATCTCAGCGGCAAGCCTCTCTCGTAGATAAGACAACTGGACAGCTGGAGGTTTGGGGGGAACATACCCTCTGGTAAACTAACGTAACTATGGAAAATCACATTTTTTTAATGGGTAAAGCCACTATAAATGGCAATTTTCAATAGCTTTTTGTATGTTTACCAGAGGGTAATCTATAAGCCCAACATCCTGAAAACACGGTTCGATCTTTTTGGGGGATCGTGGAAAAAAACCCGGTTCAACCTGGTTCAACTGCTCAAACAGTGAAGAGTCATCCCCCAGACTAGACCCTGAAAATCCCATATATTTGGAGGTTAAACTCGTCTTCCAAAGCCAACGTCATGGCAGGGTTGTCATCGATCCATTGGGGGGATTGTTTTTGAAGGCGATCCATGGAGTATTTGGATCCATGGTTTGATCATTAGCGCTGTCACTAATATAAGCCTACAATCATGGAATCACGAATGTCTTAGAAGATGCAGATAGAGAAAGATACACATACATACATACATACATACATACATACATACATACATACATACATACATACATACATACGTACGTACGTACGTACGTACGTACGTACGTAGTACGTACGTACTACGTACAGACACACAGACACACAGACACACAGACAGACAGACAGACAGACAGACATACAGACAGACAGACAGACATACAGACAGACAGACATGCATACAGACAGACAGACATACAGACGGACATACATACATACAGACATACAGACCGACAGCCAGGCAGGCATACAGACTGACTGACTGACTGACTGACAGACAGACATACATACATACAGCATGCATGCATACTTTATTGTATGCATATAATTGCATATATATATATATTGTTTGTATGTATATGCATACATATGGCCATTACAACACATCACAGGAACGCACTCCCAAGTTCCAATTGGTGTCTTCCTTCGTGCCTGGGCTTGAAAACCTACTTCTGGGTGCAGTTCCAGTGAACTAAAGTGATGATAAATAGCCATAGATATGGGGGTTATGGAGATATCCCAAGTTATGGTGGTTAAGATCCCATGGTTATAGCCATAAAGATCATCCCAAATGCCTGCCCCAGGCTTGTAATCGACCCAGGGAAGCGTCATCTTCCAACCCCCAAGGCAGGGTCCAAGTATGCTAATTTGGGGGATAGTAGATGCCACTATATTCCCATTCTCCCACCATTGTTTGCTGCTTACCCTCTGGTAATTTAACATAGCTATGGAAAATCACCATTTTTCATGGGAAAACTCACTATAAATGGCCATTTTCAATAGCTATGTTAGTTTACCAGAGGGTAAACCACCATTTCTGTTGATTGAATCCCTATTTTGCTTGGTAAAATCGCCTTCGAAAACCACGATGAAAATAGCCAGGTGGCCACAGCTGATCTACCCACTCTGCCGCCACTGCCCAGTGCGGCGGTCAAGGAGGCAAGATTTTGGATGGAGATTTCACCAATGGATGGAGATTTCGAGTTGTCCAGATTGATATCCCCGAATTGCATCCAAATCCCCATTGAATAGCAATGGAATTTACATATACCCGTTACCAAAAACCATCAATTTGCAGGATCATCATGGATCATTATCCCATTTTCCGAGCCAAAGAAAACCCAGTTGGTTCGGGGATTCTCCAGCTGGCCATGTTTGATTACCAGAGGATATAACCATTCATACCCTATTATCCTATTATTATCTCATTAATATCCATATAATTGTTATCTCTATTAAACCATATGAAACCACACTAAACCATGGTTACTACAACGCGCTGCCCACCAGTTATAAGTTATAAGTTCAAGTTTATAATCCCCATTCATATATCATACATAATATCTCACAAACCCAGCAGTTATTGTTCACCAACTTAGAGGTAGCTGGGCACCTGCTTGCAGGAGACATTGTTATCCCATTGTTATCCCATTACAGTATGATCCCACTATTGCTTTGATCAAGGGTCTTGACTTCGAAAGCCCTTACCCCCAAAAAACACGGAGAGTTGGGGTACATTGTCACAAATAATTATATCATATTATTATTATTATTATCTCATTATCACCCCTTATTCAACCATAGAACGCCATATAAAACAAGCCATGTTCACCATCAACTATGGTTATTCCATCATTATCCCAATAAAACACCATATACCCTCTGGTAAACAAACATGACTATGGAAAATCACCTCTTTTTTTGTTAAATCAACTATCAATGAGCACAAAATTCACCATTTTCAATAGCTATGTTTGACATCACCAGAGGGTAAACCTCCATTTTCCTATGGTTTTCCTATGGTTTTCCCATTAAAATCTCCATTTTCCTATGGTTTTCCTATGGTTTTCCCATTAAAATCTCCATTTTCCTATGGTTTTCCCATTAAAACCTCCATTTTCCTATGGTTTTCCTGGGATAAAAACTGCTGGGACATTTGGGCGCTGGCAACGGGATTTTCACGAGGCCGCGGCAGACGTGGGCGATGCCGTGCCCACGGTGCCACCGCTGCCGGATGCCTTGCCGACGGCCGGCGAGGTGCGGGGTACTTCTCGCGGCTGGCGAGGTGAATGACATGAATTACCCTTGGCTTAATAGACATTTACCCTCTGGTTATGACTAACATAGCTATGGAAAATCACTATTTTCAATGGGAAAATCCACTATAAATGGCCATTTTCAATAGCTATGTTAAATTACCAGAGGGTAATATGTTTAATAGGATGGAGAATGGATAGACATACATAGAAACTTGATATGGTTTCATAGGGAGGACAACGGGATAATCATGAATATCTCTCGGTATATGAATGGGATATTGATGGGATATGAACGGGATATTCGTGGCTTCTATCCAGTCACCGCAAGTGGTAAAAACGCCGTATTCATTAGGCTGACCAGATTTAGATACATTGAAAAGAATAGACTTGTTGCATATAAAGCGCTTAGTGTCATGAAACATGGCTGGCTGGGAAAATTCTGAACTAAATTTTAAATTTCAAATGCTGTTTTCATTTAAACAAATCATACAACTATCACTGGGGATTTTCCATGGCTATGATTGAACATCAGATGGGTAGCCAGCCATGGCAGCAAAACTCACCCAGAGATGTAGGATTTCAACGACAGAAACGGGTACCTTCCGGTAATTGTTACATAGCAATGGATATTTCGTTAGCATAGCCCATTTCAAGAGGATTTAGATGGATTTGGCTACCAAAAAAAAGGTGAGTTTCCATAGTTAAGTAAGAAATTACCGGAGGTTGTATCTCATGATTTCATTCTCATCATTACCCCCTGGTAAACTAACATAGCTATTGAAAATGGCCATTTATAGTTGATTTACCTATTAACAATTGTGATTTTCCATAGTTTTTTGTAAGTTTACCGGAGGGTATATCCCCATGCAATTGGTGGGCAACTAAAAGGTTGCATTTGGGCTATCCCCTCCAGCGCCAACAACCTGAGCGAACGGTGGGATCGACGACTTTCAAGGGCTGCGGGGGAAAAACCCCTGGCAGGGTTGATTAGTTCAGGGATTTAAGCGTCATTTATATGGTTGAACCGCTGAAAACATCAACCATTATAGGGATAATTGATGAATGAATATATATGAATATCATTTTTGTTGGGGTCATAGCCGGAAAAAAACCCTTCAAACTATGGGGATATAATGGTTACATGATGGTCGGTTATTAGTTTGGGGGTAAGACTATCCTCTAGATATTGGGGGTGATCACCATCCATCATCTGGGAAATCCGTTCTTCACAGATCAGATTTTAAAGGGACAACGTTGCGGGTTTTGAACACTGCTCATCAGTATTGAGGGACGACGTTGCGGGTTTCGAGTCAGATACCACTTGTAGTCCCATATGGATAGCGAATTGCGGATAATCCAAGTGGTGAGTCGACAAAGTAGTTAGGGATTGTTACCCTTTGGTAATTTAACATAGCTATTGAAAATGGCAATTTATAGTGGATTTACCAATTGAAAATGGTGATTTTCCATAGCTATGTAAAATTACCAGAGGGTAGGAGTAATAACTCTGTATTCGGTACTTGTATATTGGATATATATATATATATATTGGATATATATATATATTGGATGAATATGGGCTTACTATTTCTTTGTACAGTAATCAGCATATCGTAATATCGCCAAGCCCAAGTGCAAGGAAACACATCCAGTTGGTGAGACAACCAACTTTGATGATTGAATTGTCACCTCCAACAATCCGACTTCCCTAAGCACCTATGGATACCCAACTGCCAATAATAACATTTTATTTTGGATAAATTGTAATGACCGAACCCTGCGACGTCACTTGAATGATTGTTTACACAAAACGCACACACACACATACGCACATATGTATATATATATATGATATCGTGTATATATATATATATATATATGCGCATGGGTAACTATTCCAAAGTGGCAGACATTTCAGGTTGGTGATTTACTACATATTTTATCCATTTTTTTCCCCCATTGCCCAGAGAATACTCATTGAAACCACATCAAACCCCCATAGAACCATGATTTTCACGGGAACCATCCCAAGTTATTCTGGTTGGTGGTTTGGAACATTTGGATTATTTTTCCATATATTGGGAATGTCATCATCCCATTTGAATTTCATATTTTTCAGAAGGGTAGGTTGAAACCACCAACCAGCATTTATATTTCCAGAGAAATATCCCAAGTATTGATATTGCAATAACCAATCATATATAACCAATGATTAACCATCATTAACCACTATTAACCACTATTGAACCATTATTAACCATTAACCAACCAGCTACATATCATATTGCAAGTATCGATATTCATACTGCTTGGTGGTTTCAATCATTTTTTTTCCAGAATATATGGCATACTCCTTCCTATTGACGAAGTCATATTTTTCAAGATGGGTTTTTAACCACCAAGCAGCATATTTCAGAGGGGTTTTTCCAACCTCATCTCCCCAATGGATTTCTCCAGCGGAGGTTTCTGTTTATACCCGGGGCCCCTCTTGTCACATTGTTCTGGGATTTCACCCGTTTCATCCGCCATGGTGATATTTTTTGGAGGGTGGTAAAAAGGAACCATCCGGGACTCCTGAGATTATTTTATGCTCCGGTAAATTAACATAGACCCTGCCAGATAATGGGTTGGAAGACTAGTTTCCATTAAACATTGGTTATTTTCAGGGTCTATGTTTATTTATTTGAATTAAGGACTATCATTAAATAAAGACTTGATGGACCCAATCATTGATAACCCCCATAATAAACCCGATAAACCATAATGAACAGTTTTTAGATTCGCATTTAAACATTCATTTAGTTCGGGGATTTTCCAGCCAGTTATGTTTGATGACCAGAATTATTTCCTTAGTATTATTAAAGCATTTATAACAATGATGGTTAGCAGCATATAAAAATATTATCAATTATCATTCTATTCCATTATTATCCCATTCTTTATGTCATTCCAGTCCGTTATTATCCCATTCTTAAAACAACATTTGGGTGAATGATGCTCAAAACATGTTCGCTGCAACCTGGACGTTTGCCCGGAGTTGATGTCCCGCAATCAACTTATTGTTCAGAGGGGGTGGCTAATTTTGATCCCTCATGAAGATAAAGTTGATGTTATTTCCCCCAATCAACATATTGTTCTGAGGAGGTGGCCAATTTTGATCCCTCATGAAGATAAAAATGATGTTGTTAGCCCGTTCAGCATATTTTTTCATAGGGGGGGCGGATTTTGTTCCCTCATGAAGATAATGTTGATGTAATTACCCGATTCAACATATTGGCCATAGAGGGTGGCGTGTTGTTAGCCCGTTCAGCATATTGGTCATAGGGGGTGGCGGATTTTGATCCCATGATGATCAGGTGATATTGTTTCCTCATGAAGATAACTGTATTCAAGTTATCTTTCACATGCCACCGTTGGCCATGCTTGGATTCGCAACTTCCCAGCAACACAGAATTGTCTCTGTTATGTCACAATGATGAGTCTGGGCGAACGTTAAGGTTGCGGACAACATGTTAAAACCATATAAAACCATTATCATTCCAGTCATTATCCCATTCTTAAAACCACGATAACTTTCCAGTAAATTAACATAGACCCTGCCAGATAGGATTTGGAAGATGAGTTTCCACTAACATCATGGGTGATTTTCAGGGTCGAACTGTCAATTTACCCCCAAGGTAAACCATGGTGTAGTAGGGAATTTCCACATTCCATGGGTGTTTAATATGAATGGGTGATGGGATTATGTAAGAATCACATGTCTTAAAGTTCATTTACCAGAAGGTAAAGTGATTTTGACATGGTAAACCACTAATGTACCACTTAGACATGGTAAAAACCGGATTAGACATGTCTTAGAAGGTAAACATCCGTTTTTTTTGCGCATTGTCTAAGTGGTTTTGGTCGCTTTTAGCGGCCCCCATCCCGTGGGAGGCAGCCACTGCAATCACTGATGCCCTGCCTACAGTGGAACCTGAGGAGGTCGGGAACGCGGTGGTCAGAAATGGGGGACGAATGGAAAATTATGGACACATCATTTATATTTGATATGATTAGGGGTTTCTTGTTTTGTTTTCTTGTTTTGGTCAAACATGTCTAGTTTATAATTTTCAAGCCATTTTCTTTGGCGTTTGTCCACGATTCTTGGTTACTAAACACCTAAAAACTGGTTTCCCCCTTCGGTTCGGGACTTCCGAAGGGATTCTGACGTCCGGAGTCCCAAAGATCCGCCAGTTGCAGATTTCTCAGGGCGTTTTTTTATTGGTTCCATATGTTCAATTCAGGATGAATTGATTTTTTTCTTCAAAGATATTTTCAGATTTTTCCAGCGCAGGACACCTCCATCACCGGGCAGGTCTCCTCCAAGTCTCTTGGCGATTCATGCGGGAGAATTAATGGGAGTTGACCAGAAAAAGTGGGATTCATCTCGTCAACTTTCGACATTTAATGTCAACCCCGGATTAATAAACCATGGTTTATTGATCAGGGGGGTATTCCATGGTATTCCCCCCAATAGTCATGACTTGATACTTTTTTATGGTACCTTCCCAATTAAACAGCCGTAAACGGGGTTTATTAATCCAGGGTTGATATTACTCACAAACGTGGTGATTTATCGAGTAGACTTAGCAATGTATCTGGCAGAAAAAACTGGGATTTTGTTTTGCTTCCGCAAAATGCCGGTTGAAGCACCAAAAGCCAAGCAGTTGATCGAACCAAAAAATAAAATATAAATGGCAGGGCACATTCAGCCAAAAATATGGATCCAGCTCCCTCGGGAGCAGTTCACCATGGTTCACTGGAGTTTTTCTCAGCAAAGCCCCAAAATTTCGCAGATCAAGTCGGCGGAGATTGCAAGAAGAAGTACAACCAATCGTGAGTTCTCGACAGAGTGGTAGGGTTCATTTTTTTCTTGTATACATCTTATTTGGCATGATGTAAAGATACTGGTTGGTGGTTTGGAACCATGGAATTTTGATGACTTTCCAGAAACAGTTGGGAATGGAAGTCATCATCCCAACCGACTTTCAGTCCATCATTTTTCAGAGGGGTTGGTGGCTCAACCACCAACCAGCCATAATTAACCAATGATTAACCACTATTAACCATCATTAACCACTATTAACCATAGGAAAACCATAGGAAAACCATAGGAAAACCATAGGAAAACCATGGTAGCCGTGGCCTCAAAAGTGCCGTTTTCTCGGGATCCCAAGAGTCGTGTGGAGTTGTACCAGTACGGCGAACTGTACTTGACTCCAGGTGAGATCAGGATTTCTTTCAAATACCCGGCCTGGTAAACATACAAAAAACTATGGAAAGATCCACCATTTTCAAGAGCTATTTTGACATAACCAGAGGGTATATGATTCTAAAATCCCAGTTCACCTCGAAATCCCAACTCAAGCCCGGCTTTCTCCGATTTTTGGCGAAGAAAACTACAGGCTCTCAGACATCCATAAGAATGTCCAGCAGGTCTTCTCACTCGTTCCTGGGCAGAGATGGGTTTCTTTCATGGTGACATCACCAGCAAAAATCGCAATTGGAGATCCGGACAAAAACCCATCATTTTCTCTGGGGAGATCATGGCATGCCATGGGGCCCTCCAGGGGATCGGATTTTTGGATCGGAACATCCCTGGGATTTGATGTTTTCTGGTGGGATGGATGCTGTTGGGGAATTGGCTGAAGATATCTTCATTTCCCACGGATCTTAATGATCTTAACTGTTGAGAATCTCCCAGTTGACGGCAATTGTTCCAAAAAATCCTCGCATGGCTACTTTGGTAACGTAACATGGCTTGTTTTGGTGAAAATGTTCAGGGATGGGAAGAATCAATCCAGCATATCCAGCTTCATAGGGATTTAGATGAACCCATGTAACCATAATTAATGCTGCTTGGTGGTTTCAAACATTTGGATTATTTTCCATTTCATAAAAAAGGGATGTCATCCCAACCCCATTGACTTTAACTCCATCATTTTTCAAGATGCTGAAATTGCACCACCAACCAGTCCAGAATTAACCCATGATTGGCCATCATTAACCACTATTAATCACTATTAACCATTATTAACCATTATTAACCATAAACCATGGCGTTTTCATGCTTTTTCTAACCAACGGGAGCTGGCTTGCTGCCAAGACTTACCCAGACAAGCTATCGACGTTTCGCAGATGGTCTGGGTAAATTTCATCACGACCGAACCCTGTTCTCCCGAACCCTGGAAATCATGGTTTAATTTCGGGGAATCATCCCCTTTTATGGCCGAACCAATGTAGGTGAACGTGAATTAGTATAATTTACCCAGATATGGGTATGGATCAATACCTATTAATACCATTTTTAGGGGAATGAACATCCATTTACCAGCTATTTTGATGTGAACTACAGGGGTACAAGGTTTTGACACACTGCCATATGGTCCACTCTGGTTAAGATTCATGGTCCACTCAGCTTCCACCGAGCTTTCGATGATATGACATATGGCGCCATAGCAACCCCGAATTACTCGAATTTCCGGAAAAAACCCCAACCTTCACATTTTTTGCATTTGCGGATCATGTCGGGAAACTCTGGCTTTTCATGGCTTTTCCCACATTGATGTTGCGAAAAACCCATGTCGGGTCTGAACAAGCATCCCTCTGGTAAACAGCCACAGAACTATGGAAAGATCCACCATCATTTCGTGAATTTTCCCATGAAAAATGCTGGATTTACCCATTAAAGATGGTGATTTATAGTGGATTTTCCCATGAAAAATGCTGGATCTTTCCATCGTTTTTTCTTTCCATGTTTACCATTTCGGTAGTTCCAACCACAGCTGTCACACAATCGATGCGCCGAGGGGGATGACAACAACTCGGGGAAGCCCCCCTTCATAATTGCGCTGGTCCTGGTGGTGGCCGCCGCCCTTTCCCTGAGGAGCAGCGCGATGTTTAAACAAAGTCATCACCCGTTTTTTTTTTGGTCGGGTAAATCCCATACAAAATGGTGGATCTTTCCATAGAAATGGTTGATTTACCCATACAAAATGGTGATTTTCCATAGAAATGGTTGATTTACCCATTGAAAATGGTGATTAAACATAGAAATAGTTGATTTACCTATACAAAATGGTGGATCTTTCCATAGAAATGGTTGATTTACCCATACAAAATGGCGATTTTCCATAGAAATGGTTGATTTACCCATTGAAAATGGTGATTAAAAATGGTGGATCTTTCCATAGAAATGGTTGATTTACCCATACAAAATGGCGATTTTCCATAGACATGGTTTATTTACCCATTGAAAATGGTGATTAATCATAGAAATAGTTGATTTACCTATACAAAATGGTGATTTTCCTCGTGGAAACTGGGAACACACACACACACAGATATATATATATATATATTTCTATATACACATGTGTATAGATATACATTAAAATGTAGAATATATATACATTAATGTAGAATATATATACAGTAGAATATGTAGAATATATATATACATATATACATATATACAGTATATATAGATATTTATATATAGATATACAGTTGATGTACATATTCTTATCATTCAACTGTAGAATTCTGGGCGCCCCTTCATGGGACAACGATGGGATCCCTGAGGGTTTTCCTCTGGAAGAACGGCAGCAATCGCAGCACTTTACGATGGTTTACAACAATTTTTTTTAACTGGCTATGAGTCAAAAGCCTGGTACCCCAGGATACCCTAGGTACCCTACAATAGCTGGCTAATGATGGATGTCTATTCGCCCAAATATGGTTAAAAAAAGTCTTGACCCAACCCCAGCTGTTTTCATATTCAATGATCTGGGTATGATATGGCTATGAATCAATACCTATTAATACCATTTTTAGTGGGATGAACATCCATTTACCAGCTATTTTGGGGTTCACCAGGGGTACAAGGTTTTGACACACTGCCATATGATATTCCACAAATTCACATTCATATTTCCGGGATGGGTTGACACCATTAACCATGGCACCTGGTTGACGCCAACTGCATGGATTTATACATGTGCCAGGTTTGTTATCCACCAATGAACGCGTATGAACGAACCAAAATGGAGAGTACCTAATAGATCTAATTTAAACAAATGGGAATTAGCTTAATTTTTTGATGAATGCTTGTATACATATACGTATGTATGTATAAACGCGCGCGCACACACACACACACACCTTTATATATATATATATACACACCTATTGAGAGCCCACATACACGCGCACACACACACATACATATATATATAATATTCAGAGCACGCACACACACAGATATATACATATACATATGTATATATAGATATACATCAATATATAAATAGTTCCCAATAGACCTTCTGGGTTCACATCTCGAATTGCGCGTTCAGGGTCTTCGCCCACTACTCCTTCAATGACCACAACAACGCAACTTGGCAGGCGAAAACCCAGGTGGTGGGTCTTTGTTCAGCATGACGACCCTGCCGTGGGTGCTTTTCGGGGTCGAAAAAGGGGCGATGCCCGGGCGAAATCACGTTCAGGAGCTGTGAATTTTCAGGGGATGGGTAAAACATGGTAAAACCGTGGGAAACTTCACAACAACAAACTGACCCATGTTTGCGATATTTGTCTGTCAGTTGGGGCATTAACAAACATAGCTCTGAGGGTTGGTGGCCGTGTCTCACATGAGCTTTTTGAAGCAGATGCCGGGGAAATCAACCAGGGGAGCCACTTAGCCACGAATGACCTGAGATGAGTTGGAAAACCACAAAGAACTAACAGTTAACAGTTTTCCATAGTTTTCCATAGTTTTCCACAGTTTTCCATAGTTTTCCACAGTTTTCCATAGTTTTCCATAGTTTTCCATAGTTTCCATAGTTTTAAATAGTTTTCCCAGCAAAAATATGGGTCAAGTATGGTTGACTGACCTGGGTCGCAATGCATTGAGGCGGTGAGGGAGGAGAAGAACAGGAAAGCTAAGTCCAATGCGGCTGAGAAGGAAGCCCAACGCAGCCCGGTCAAAGAATTTGGTGCGTTTCCCCATCCCTTTCAGATACCCTGTGGTAAACTAACATAGCTATTGAACATATCCAATTTATAGTGGATTTTCCCATTGAACATGGTGATTTTCCATAGTTATGTGAGTTATGTGTATGTTTACCAGAGGGTAAACCATTCAACTCATTTTTTGGCTTCAAATCTCATTCTCATTGACAGTAAATCTCCAAGTTTGTACTCGTTGAAACGGCGGCAAGTCAGAAATTCCACTGCTGAATCCAGCCTTTTGGTTCGTGAACCCCTCCTTCTTTGGGTCAGAATCCCATTTTTCATTTAGTAAAACCGCCACATTTTCTGGGTGAAGCCAAACTTTGTTGGCCAAACTCCAAACCTGCGGGGTTTGTGAGGTGAAAAATATGCTTTTCATGGCTTCAACTCCGATATTTTTCATAGATGTTCACGTTCCATTGAAGTGAAACTTCATCATTTCATGGATTCTGAATGGATTAGTGTCAACCCCGGATTACTAAACCATGGTTTATGAATTAGGGGTGTACCCTCCTTAAATAGTCACTTTATACGGTACATAAATGGTACCCCCCCTTTATTGAACAGCCGTAAACGGGCGGGGTTTATTAACCCAGGTCAGGACGCTGAGGAGGCAGCTTGGCCGGTGCCTGCGGCGCCGGGGCCTGCGGCCATGCCGGTGATGGGCCAACCGCAGATGCTGATGGGTGGCTTGAGAAAGCTGATGGGATGGATTCCGGATGGGGATGGGGATGGGATGATGTTTTGAATTGTTTTGATGTGTCACAGAACGAATGTTTCTGGACTGGATGGGATGGAGAGTTTTTTTGTTTGGAGTTTCTGATGGACTTTGGATAAACATTTGTTGGATAAACATAAATCTCATGTTTTTTGAGATTTGAGTGGAAATAAAACCAGCGATCTTTCTGCCGAGTTGGATGAGACCCATGGATGGCGGACGTGAATGTCGGCAAATTCTGGAGGGCATGTTGGATGTTTTTTTTGCAGGGCTTTAGTTAGATGATTTTGATATAATTTGATATATATATATGTATACATATTGATCATTTTGGATGATGCTTGGATTATTTCGTAGCTGGCGGTGACTGGGGATTTTTGGGCATTTTGGCTTATGATTTTCTTTTGACATGTTGTTCAGCTTGCATCGTGTTGGTTATTTTGAATCAAGACCTGCGCTCACTAGACCATTTAAGTACCAAACCTAGAATAAGGTAAAACAGATTATGTAAGTCTACAGTATTTTTTTTTCCGCAACAGAGGCCGAAAGAACAAACCTTAGACTTTCTACATACCATCCGCCTATTTGGTAGGTATAAGCGGTATAACCCATCGTGGAACTCCCATTTTGCGTACCTCATATTTCCCTCCGCATTAAGACTGATGGCTTATTACAAATATGACGACCATTGGTATACCCTCTGGTAAACATACACATAACTATGGAAAATCACCATTTTTAATGGGAAAACTCACTATAAATGGCCATTTTCAATAGCTATGTTAGTTTACCAGAGAGTAACCATTGGGTTATTACAAATATCATATCAACAATATACCCTTCGTCATATCAAGAAACGAAGGTTGAATACCCAATATATGGAATACCCAATGGTATCGTCATATCACAAATTGGTTTGGTTACATCAGCTTTTTCGAAGGTGATATCACCATTCAATATCAGCTTTTTGTGGGTGAAACAATGTCATAACTAAAAAACCACCCATGACTTCCTGGGAATGGTAAGTAACCATACCACCTTTTTTAACATGGTGATGACTGGGTGGTGCAAATGGAGTTTATGTTGGATTCTTTTACCATGTTTTACCCACATCTTTACCCACATATTCCATCAGATACCATCAACTCACATCAACTCACGATGAAATGGCAGTGTGTCAAAACCTTGTACCCCTGTAGTTCACATCAAAATAGCTGGGATTTATGGATGTTCATCCCTTTAAAAAAGGTATCTATAGGTATTGACCCATACCCAAATGCCAAGAAAAATCACCTGCCAAATGCTCCACTTTCCTGGGGGATCTCCGTTTTTTTTTTTTCGACGCCTGAGGCTCCGGGGTGTATCAGCAGCCAATGGTGGTCTCGGGGTATCAAGCTCAGGCGTGGGGATCGGAGCTGGATCAACCTGACCCCCAAATGGGTAAAAAAAAATGCTGCAAGCCATCATAAACATGGCATTTTTCATGGGTTGTTTGAAAAAAACCTGAATATGTCATAGATGTTGGTAAATCATGATTTTTTCAATGCTTCCCAAAGTCATAGATGGGTTGCAAGGGTTTTATGATTGGGTTTCCCAGCAACCATGGTTTAATGTGGTTTTGTTTTATATGTTTTAATAGGGAAAAGTATTGGATAAGAATTGGGACAATGACTGGTTGGTGGTTTCAAACATTTTATTATTTTTCCATAATATATGGGAATGTCATCATCCCAACTGACGAACTCCATCATTTTTCAGAGGGGTAGGTGGCTCAACCACCAACCAGATAATCATGGGATATGATATACCCTCTGGTAAACACACAAAAAACTATGGAACATCACCGTTTTTAATGGGACAACTCACTATAAATGACAATTTTTAATAGCTATGTTAAATAACCATAGTTACAACCCCTTCATATCCCAGTCAGAAACTATACTGGGATATGACTTTACTCTCCGAGAATCAACCATGGCAATGGAGAATCCTCTAGAAAATGAAGCTTTTTTGATGGGAAAATCACCCTATGTTCAAGGCTATAAATCATCTATATATCATGGGATCAATGGGAGGGGTGAATAGTGGTTGATCATGATTAATCATGATAAAGATGGGATAAGATCACAATCATGGGATGATGATCACTATTTTTTGATCCACTAATCACTAGCAACCCCCATTAATCATTAGTATCATGGGATTAATGGGGGTTAATTTCCCTGGAGTGGTTCTGAGGGAGGCAGCTATGGTGATTGCCATCATCCATCATCATCCCGAAAAAAGGAGGAGCCGGTCGGACCTACGAATTGTGTTTTCCTACCACCTGGTTGTAATCATGATTATCCCCAACTTTGGATGGGTAGTTCAATTGTTTAGTTTTGTTGTAGATGGAACATAGCCATAACCAGCAAACCATTTTTTCTTGCGGACTATCAAAGATTGACCATGTGATTAATAATCATTAATGAATGGGAATGATCGTGAGATGAGGATCGCTATGATGATCCATCATATTAAGAGCCATTAAGCAATCACTATTAGTATGATAGGATAGATGGGGGTGCGCAGCGATGAATAGTGACAAACATGGGAAATATCTTGGGGATCAAATGATGGTTTACCATGATATCATCAACAAACATGCAGATTCACCAGCAAAGATGGTCTTGAAAGCTGGGATTCAACATAAAACATGGATGTAAGATGATGTAAGCAGATTTGAAATCCAGTCAACCAACAAAAAGGGGAATAAACAACATGATTTAACCATGAATTAACCAGGAATTTCAATGAGATCAATACTGGGCTTTCCCATTGGAAGCGATGATTTTCTACCGCCATGTTCGCCATCAAGCAGCATCAATCACTATCTGATTGGTGGTTTCAAACATTATAGTGGTTAATGGTGGATAATGGTGGTTAATAATGGTTAATGAGATATATGGTTGGTGGTTTCAAACATGAATGGATCATTTTCCATGTCATAAAAAAGGGATAATTAATCCTTCCCATTGACTTTCACTCCATCATTTTTCAAGATGGTGACATTGCACCACCAACCAGTCCATAATTAACCAATGATTGGCCATCGTTAACCACTATTAACCATTATTAATCACTATTATATAACCATTATTAACCATTATTAACCATTATTGCACCACCAACCAGCTATACAATCCATGTTTCGATGGGTTCAGTCTTGTGAAATCCCCGTGGGAAAATGATTCTCCGAATAAAAATGCGTCGCCATGTACCAATCGGTTCCATGTTTCCAAGACCCTCAAGGATAATTATCTACAACATTTAGAGGGAATTCCGTGGAATTCCTATATTTGAGGAGTTGTCTTTTACCATTTTCTCTTCAATCAACCTGGATTTTGCTTGTTATTTTCTGATTGGTTATTCCACCCTTTGGAATCTATGGCAAAACATCATTGATGAACATGTTTTGCATCATTGGATCGAAAATGAACCGCACATGTGTTCCTTTCTCTCATTGGACCATATTGACGTATGTCTATATTTTCACACATGCATATAGCTGCATATATATATAATATACATTATATGGGTGCATGGTGATCAGCAAATTCCGTATGGCTTTCCTTTAACAGCCAGCTATACAATTTTACCTTATGTGATATTTTGCTACTGTTATTCCTACAACCGTCTCCAGACGTATAAACATTTACAATAAAATAACATGTTTCTTCTAGTTATTCTCCTGCTGATGATGATGATGATGATGATGTTGATGATGATGATGATGACGACGACGACGACGACGATGACATGATGACATGATGATGGTGATTGTTGTGATGATTATTGCTATTACCCTCTGGTCTACCATAGCTATTGAACATGGCAATAGAAATAGTTGATTTACTCATGAAAAAATGGTGGTTTCCCATGGTTTTCCATAGTTTTTTGATGTTTTTTGTATGTTGACCAGAGGGTATCCACAAAGAAGAGCCGGCAGCGTTCCCCGTCCCCCGGCAGCTTCCGGTTCGCCCCTCGCTCCGCGCCAGACCGCGAGCCCCACGGTGAGCGGCGTCACCTATGCGCCAATGGGAACCCAACCCTATGTGATCCAACAATGAGCCATGATAGCTTGGGGGTGCAGGCCACAGGTGCAATAACTGATCGAAAAAAGTGGTGGTTTTTCATGGGAGTTAATGGATTTTTTTCATTTACTTATGGGTCAAAAACTCTGGGATCTTAACCCTCCATATTTGTTGGGATGGGACAAGGATGGTGAACTTTTCATCCACAAACAGGCACTGGTTGCACTTCCATGGGGGTCAAGTCGTTGGGTCAGAGAAATAGGCTGTTGATGATGAGATTGGCGAATGATTCAACATGATTCAGCCATCTTTCCATTTTTACATAGGGATTGAACCAATAAACAATGGTTGAATATGTTGAAGACTAAATATGTTGAATATCATGTTTGTTTTTTTTTTTTTGGGGGGGGGGATGTTGAAGACTTAATATGATAAATATGAGCTTCGAATCGGTCTTGCTGATGATTCTGACCTCTGAGCGAAAAGTGTGGCCAGTGATGTCGAAAAGGATGTCTATTGATTCAGTTGACCTAGGTGAGCCAGGCAAAACTCAGGGAGGCCAAAAACTTGAACACCAGTTGGACACTAGAAAAGTGGCTAGCAAGTGTAACATGAAAAGTCGCGATCAAAGTGTATCACCAAAAACCTGCGACATCATTCGGAGAATCATCTCCCGAACTTCTCAGGTTTCCAGATTGGAATATCCCATGATAATCATGATATTCCCCGCAAATACCCCTTGAACCCACATGAAGATCCCGTCCTTGAAAGCCTGGCTCGGCCGGGTTCATCCAGGGGCCGGGCGATCTACGAATGCTGCTTTTCATGGGGGTTTCATGATGTTTCATGGTGATCATTGAGGATAATCAAGGATTAAAAAAAGAACAATGGAAGTAATAATATGTGTTGGGTGTCCGGTGCAGTTTCCCTCACCACTTTTTTTTCTTGGAGATTTCATGAGATTTTTACGAGATTCAGGGTTCGGGTGCGCGTCCATTCGAATAGGTTAGGAAAAACATGGAAACACCCATTGTGGCTATAGCACTGTAGTGGCTATATATATATTATATAATATATATAATATATATATAATATATAATATATAATATATATATATTTATAGCACTTGTAGTTGGAGACCACTTCCCAGTCTTTGCAGTTGCTCTTAGATGCAGCCCCGTTGAAAACTTCTGCAGCCGGGCCCATGGATTTTCCCGTTGAAAACATAGGATGCTGCGTGACCGAGAGAAATATCCTGAACGCTCGAAAAAGTGCTGACACAAGGACTAGCAAAGCCAAATAGACTTCCAAAGCTATTTCTTCTGGTTCCATGCCAAGTTTCAAACAGTTCCAGATTGCTTTGCCCCTAAGATTCTGTGAAAATCATCTCTCAGTCTTGACGTTTCCCCAGTGCCCCGGTTTGGTGACCCCATGTGACCCCGGTAATTCGATAGTAATTTGTTGTGGCCCTAACAAACCCAATGATTACTGCCTGGTAATTTGTTACATAACTGAAATCGCCATGTTTAAGAGGTAAATCATCGATTTTAAATGGGTCTACCCTCGATTTTCACAGTTTTGCGATGGACAATCACCATTTTCGGTGGGTAAATCATGGTAAATCATCTAAACATTGTCAAATTTTCCATAAATGACCTATAAATGACCTATAAATGGGCACATCATCATACATGACCTATAAATGGGTCATTTTTCCATAGCTCAAAAAAACGGGTCCACCAGGTGTGCTGGATGCTGGCGCCTGCGGATCGAGGTACCGTTCCCAAAGGATGGGCTTCGCCGATGTTTACGTTTTTTTTGGTTGGAAACATGAGCAGTGATGATTATTGATACCCTCTGGTAAACATACAAAAAGCTATTGAACATTGCCATAGAAATAGTGGATTTACCCATAAACAATGGTGATTTTCCATAGTTATGTTAGTTTACCGGAGGGTACTGCTTAAAGGTCATTGGTTTAGCTAGATGCCGTCATAATTGTTTTGGTTCATCCGAGTTCATCCTTTATAGGTCATTGATGATTTATCTACCCCATTGATGAGGATGATCATGGTGATGATTTATGATGATCAAGGTACAAAGGTGTTTTTGATCAATGGCACCATCAAGGTTTTTTACTGGTCATTGATGATGATTTACCCCATTGATGATGATGAGTTTTTTTTTCCGAGATTTTAGGAGATGTTGGGTAGATTCTGTCCAATTTTTTTGTCGGATTGTCGGACATCTTTGTTGAACTTTATCCAGTTTGTTGCAGGCTTTCGTCCATTTTTTTTGCCGGACTTGGTCTCGTTCTTATTGGATTGAATCACATTTTGTGGCTTTATTTAATTCTCGCCAGATTTTTCTATGATATACGTATATCTATCTATCTGTCTGTCTGTCTGTCTAGCTAGCTATCTATCTATCGATCGATCCATCCATCCATCCATCCATCCATATATATATGTTTCAGGCACGGGCACAAGCTTTAGCTAGCCTCCGTTCGCACGCCCCTGTATTTGCAGGAATATCCAATCAGGATTCTTTCTCTGCCATGTCAGCCTCGCGTACAATTCAAGCAGCATCCATCTTCTACTTGGACAACCTTTTGGCGACCGCTTCTGCACTATATACCAGCTCCTGCTTGTTGTTCTGGCTAATTCTCCAATCACTATTTTCTGGATTTGTCATATTCAGGCTGTGGGGGAAGCCTTGCATAGTCTCTTGTACATCTCATTCCCCGAGTTTGCTGGAATCAGTACCAATTCAATCATCCCTTATTTGCTCTCATTGTGTCTCGTTTCGGTTGCGTTATTCTCCTGCTTGCAAGTCCAGCCAGTTTTCTACTTCACCGACATTTTCTCCACGCACGTTCTTCTGATTTCTTTACATTTCACTCCAAGATAAAGACAAAGGGAAGTCTTCCACATCAAGTTCTACTTTTCACTCTCTTCTTTTGCTGGAATGTACACTCCTCGCCATTCTGTGTTGAAAGGGCCGTGGCAATTTCCATTGCCTGTTCTCGCTGGACTGAAAGTCAACGTTTATAAAGTGAAATTGGTTATAAGATGTTATAAGGCAATTCTTGCCTTGAGGTAACTGCTACCAGGAAGCTGTTATCATCAGCTCCGACCATGCCATGCCACATCACAGGTGGCGAATTTCTATTAAGCTCTTTCCACTTCAATTTCAAGGGCCAAGACAAAATTTTCCTTGCCACATCAACTCCATTACCTTGCAGCTAAAGCTCGCAGGGGCCGCCGGAGGCGTGCCGGCAGACCACGGTCACTCCATCCTGCTGTGCGTCATGGGGCCGATCTCCTTAAGTATATTTTCTCCCTTGTGATTGTTTCTCCGTCGTTTCGTTGTGGGTCCACCTGCACAAAACCATCGAGTCCCGTGTTATAGGTGCTGGTTAGTAGCTCTTCCTGCAGCCACAGATTCTCCCGTTCTTTTCAACTTTTTCATCTTGTTTCTCCATTCGGCTGACGGAAGGCTGCTGACGTGTAGTTCGACATGAACTGCATATCGCTGCGGGAAAAACATATATTCCACGTTCTTTTCACACGATTAAACCAAGAATTCCATAGCACAACTCCCGCGTCGCCAGGCGGGGCGTGTGCAGGGCCAAGGTGTGCGCAGGGCCACCAGGCCGGTTGAAGGATCTTTGTGCCACATTTTTTCCGGGTACCATCAATGGTAAATATATGGTCAATATATGGAAATATCACATCATGAAAAAAAAATATGAAAACAATATAAATTGAGGTTTCAAACTGGGAAGATCATGGAGCTGAGTGGGGCATCATGGGCTGCCATGTTTGATTAATGGATATTCAGTGGGGATGAATTATGATGACCTCACTGTGACGTCACTGGAACGATGGCCAGTAAGTATTAGTACTACAAGGGGAATCATAACAACTATTTTCAGGTTAGTGAACTAGTACAATTCAGCCAGATAATGAAGAGATGGATGCATACATGTATTATAGGGATCCCCAACTAGATGCCGAAAAGTAGGAAATCTGGAACTATGAGGTAGGTATCATCGAACTACCATCCTGCAAACATTTACATCTTTTTGATGGTTGCTATACATGGCAAAAATGGTGTTAGTTGGCATTTAACAAGATTTAACCAAACACACTCGATGTTTCATGCCAAGATAGTCGGATTTTTAATCAACAAAGATATGTTTTTGAACGAAGAAAACCAAACAAATTGAACTTTATCCAATGCACAAACAATTGGGATTTAACCAACAATTACGATTCCATGCGGGTAACCATTCTTTATCCAAAGAGCGATTGTACATTGCAGAAATGATGTTAATGGGCATTTGTTTAACCAACAAAAACTGCCAAACTCAAAGTTTCTTCAATTCAAATAACCGGCTCAAAATAAGAGAGATAGTCAGATATTCTTTAAACATCACAGAATACAATATATGTTTTTAAACCGGTTAGTTGAATTGAAGGTTGAGATGCAGTATGTTATTTTTCTTCCTACTTTGGGACATGTCAGCGGGTGTTAGAGATTTAAACCGGGAAAACGAGGATTCATAAGTAGCAATACTGGCAGGGATGTTTAATGGAGCAGCGGTCACATTTTCTCATGGGACTATGGGATAGCTTACCCTCTTATGTCAACAGTTTGCTATTGAAAATGGGCCATAGAAATAGTTGGTATTTACCTATGAAAACTGGTGATTTTCCATAGTTTTTTGTATGTTTACCAGAGGGTAATCTATATTGCCTATATGAATGTGTGTTTATCGGGACTAATTATCCATTTTACTAGCCATTTACCATCGCCAATTTGTGGACCGTCCAGAATGATTAAGCCCCCACACAGGTATGGGGGTGACAGATTTTTCATGACTCAAATGCCAAAACTAGAGATAATAACCCACATCCATCCAGATCCCCATTTTAATCCTAAGTGTTGATTGCTTGATCTTTTTATTTTTGATGCTTACTGTCCCACGTGTTTGATGATTAACCGGGAGACGCATCATCATACCTGTCCATATCTGTCCCAAATCATACATATGTATGGTCACAATATATTATCACAATATATGTTTCTATGATGGGGTTGCCATTCATACCATATCCATCAACATATTCCAAACTTATATTGGGGTTAGAGTTACATTGTGATCATTTGTATCCCGATCTATCACCAAATTGCCTGCTGGTTCAGTTGGTTCCCCATGATCTATCACTAAAATCATGATAACATTAATGAATATCAATGATATATTGCCCATTGTTTAGCCAGCATGTGAATTCCTTTTCCGCATCGCATATCGAAACCCTTCGAAATTTGCTTCAATATTGGCACGGTACTATTCTATGAATGAAACTTGCAGGACACCTCCATTTACAGTGGATTTCGCTATGATTTTCCAACGATTTTCTGATTAAAACCACCATTTTTGGGGATTCCAACAGCGCAGGTATCGCTGTTGGCTGCCTGTGTGTCCCATCCATCTCCTGGTCTCCTTGAACGCCGCCGTTTTTCAAGGGGATTGCCTGGAGGCAGGGATTGGGCCAAGGTGGGGAAAACAATGTCATAATACCCTCCGGCAAACTAACATAGCTATGGAACATGGCCCATTGAAATAGTTGATTTACCTATTAAAAGTGGTGATTTTTCATGATTTTTCATAGTTCTGTTAGTTTACCAGAGGGTAATGTAATAACATGGTAATTTACATATAAAACATTTTAAAACCATGTCTAGTATACCATTTTGGGCCACTAACCAATAATTTACAGGGTAAAACCATGTAATGTGGGCCACTACCCTGACTGGGAATGGTTTATATAATTTTATATATACCACCTTTCTATTTGTGCTGATTTGGGGGATGGTGCAGATGGCATTGTTTCACCTACAGTTTAAAATCCCACATTGCGATTTTTCGATGTGAAGATGTTGGTTTATCCATCCAGAAGGGTTGAGCTCCACATCAAAAGTCCGGGATTTGACCATCAATGACCTGTTTTTTTTTCCGGTGGATTTTTTGACTAAATCAAGAGTCACAAAAAAACTAATTTGAGTCTGAGTTTATAACTCATCATCATTTTTCCATGGGAATTTCCTTTCAATTGAATTCACTGGAAATTCAATTCATCATCTACTTACTACTTGCTGTTTTTTTTTTACTTCTTTAAGTCATGATGGGAATTCGTCATTGGAAACCTAAAAACAAACCTATCATGGAAACCCAACAGCAAACCTATAATGTGGGGATGGTTGAAATGGCACCCATAAAAATGGTGATGACTTGGGGATGGTGACTATGGCATTGGCTTTGCCACATGATACTCTCACATAATCTTACTCTATGTCAATTAATCACCATTAATCCACATTAATCCACGTTAACCATCAGTAACCCACATTAACCATCATTAACCATCATTAATCACCATTAATCACCATTAACCCACATTGAATCCACATCAATCGACATCAATCCACACCAATCCCCATTTCCATGTAGGAGAATGCCCTGCAGCTGGCGCCCGCCTGGCTGTTCGGAGCACCTGGAGAAGCCATGGAAGCCTATGATATAGAGTGATATAATCCTTGCATAATCCTGGCATATTCCATAGTGATACACACACAGATATATATATATATATGCATACATATATATATGCATACATACATATATACATATGTATATATATACATACATAATGACAGTATTGCCATGTATGGTGGGATAAGAGTGGGGATATGATACAATGGGATATCATGAGGATGGTTGGACACGTTTCGGCATCATATGGTTGCCATACGTTGCCGATGAAAGTAGATGAGTGGCGAACAAACTTTCCATGGCTAACTCTTGGAAAACCGGGGGCAAGCAACAACTATGGCGACTTCACCAGGAAAAACACGGTATTTGTATGCATTTGTGAGGAGACTTTGTTGATCAGACCATGAAAAAATGAGTGAGTTTTGTTGATTCGATGTGGTTTAAGCATGTTTAAGCAACAAACATGGTGATGCAACCAGGAAGAAACAATTTTGGTAGCCCAAAATCTCGAAGTCACATGGTTTTCGCCATCATTTTCCCATTCAGCAACCTGGCCAGAAACAGAAGGAACACCCAATTTTTTCAGGATGTTTTCGGAGCCCCGTTATTTTTTTTGGTGGAAAAAAATGTGAGATCTCTCTGCAGATTTCAGCGTAGTTGCCTAGTTCTTCAGCATCATCATAGTCATGTTTGTGGGAGACTGGTTCAAACTGTCTAGTGGGAAAAGCAAATGGCTTCCAAATGAAGATCGCAATTTACGACACGATTTTTCTGGGAAGTGGAGAAGTGGAAACAACTCCAAATTACAAGCTTTCGCAGTTGGGAAACCCAACATCATCATGTACTTTGGATAATTGTCCAATTGGTTGCAGCTACTTCCACTCGTGCTGCAACATGTTTTGTCCCGGCTCTGGCTATCCCATTCATGATTTTGAAGTGGTTGCGAAAATGAGCTAACTACTCCTTACTGTGGATTTGAAGAAGTGGTTCAACAATCATCAGGGATTGGTAAATGTCCCATTTTGGGTATATTGGACATCACCTTATAGTAGCCATTATAGACCATATAGTGACTTTAATGGTTGGGTGATGTTCAATGGGGACATTTAATGACCCATGATTATAGCCATCCAAAAACTGCCATCCAAAAGTTGCCAGCAACGAAGTCAAACCACCCAGGCGTCGACGCACGGTGGAACGCTGGGAGGCCATGGTGAGTTAACCCATGGTGAGTTAACCCCCATGGTGCTGTTGGGATGTGGGGCCCCCACACGTTGAAGGTGAAACAAAATATCACCGCACCTAACTGGAACTGCACTTATGACCCAATGAAATGGACAATTTCACTACTAGTATTATGAAGTAACCGGTAAAAATCAACAAACGAAAAATGAATTAAATGGATATAAATGGATCCCCTCAACTAGTCAGGGTCTGGAATGCCGGTAGCTCAGGGAATTTTTTAAGCTAGGTCTACAGTCCCTACTGAAGTATAATAGACCTTCGTGCTGGGAAGATGTTAGACCTTCAGGTTTTTACAACATAACCCATCTTCGAAAACAAATATGATATTAGACCTTTGGCCTCAATGTTAACATAACTTGATCTTAGACCTTGTCTGCCTGGCTGAATCTGCACATGCGTTTGGGGGGTCGGTCAAATAAATCTGTCAGCAAAGGGTTCCCTGTGATCGGGCGGCTTCATGCTGTAGCGACGCTGTGTAACACCCTTTTTCAGTGTGTTCCCTTGCATCTGTTGTCCAATTTTGTTGGAACCATCAAGTTGCGAAACATCACTTTTAGCTTTTGAAAGAAGAGTGACACGTTGTTTCACGAAGACACCCCCAAAGACTGACACAAAAACATCCAAAGGGAAACAGCAAAAAACTTGACCAGGTTTCTGGATGTTTCTGGATATAAAATATAAAACTATATATTTTACAAAGATGTTGAGATATATTGGGTCTACCATGAATGTATTGTATAAAAGCAGCTCTGCTGCTGTATCATATGGATTAAGAACATCATTCTAGACCTGCACTGCGCGTCTCACTGTGGTCCCGCACCGCTTCCAGAAAGGAAACTGTGGTAGCAACCTGGGTCTGAAATCAAATCCTTGTTTCACAAAACCCTAGGATAATACCAACTTTGAATCCACAACATGATGTCAGACCCCCAGGTGTGAGGCCATACCTTCAAAACAAACAAGGATCGTCTGCATTATTAAGGGAAATCATCCAGTCCAAAATTCTCTAAGCTGCGTCTGGCAAACACAACAGCATCCAAAAGGGAAACAGCAAAAAAAACACCATGATCAGGTTTTGTTGCATTTGTGTTGCGCAATCACAGTGCAAAAAAAGATGACACGCTGTTTCGATGATTTGGGGATTGGCATGGATTGGCTTCGCTTTCACGAAGCTGACGTCCATGACATTTTGAGCCAACCATTTTAGACCTCACAGTGCAGAGGTCTATATTGATTTTTCCTTCTGACGGTTTCCCCAATTTTTTCCTTCTGGGGTAGGGGGTCACATGTCTTAGACCTTTTCGGTGGATACCCTAGCCTGTTTTTGAACGTATGTTTCAGACATACCTAGAGAACCATACAACTTGATCTTAGACCCCGGTTTTAAGGTCTATTTTGAACTTTTGTATAGCGCCTGGGCAGTAGTTGATGGTATATAAATGGTCAATTTTGACCATAGCTATGTTGACAAATCACAGGAACGAAAAAAACAGGGATCTGTTGTGACAAATGTGTGCATAGTTCCCACTATATCAGTGGACATTTTGATTAGATTTGGTCAATGATGCTTTGGATCTGGTTTAGATGGGATCTACTGACCCATCGATCCATGAATAGGTTGATTAGAATCTTGTGATCCATTACTGACCCATTACTGATCCATTACTGTAATCCCATAGTGTATTCCGAATTACTGTGATTAGATGTGGTGAATCGTTGCCGCAATGCGACTCGTCGGAGAGGTTTGGTGAACGGAAATGGTGATTGAACAAAACGACAACTAGAAATAGGCATCTATTATTGGCATATATTGCCAAAAGCTTGTTGAAACACTATAGTAACGATATAGTCAATAGTTTTAGGATTCAATCCCCGTCAGCAAAGATATAGTCAATAGTTTTAGGATTCAATCCCCGTCAGCAAACGTGAGTCTTTGAAAAATGGCCTGAAAATATCAACAGCTGTATGAATGGTCATAGATTAATATCATCAATGAATATCAACTATAGATTAATATCCCATATGTATCAAACATCTATGAACCCAACTCATCTCATATGCTGTTCTTTTTGGTGAATATGAATGGGAATTTTTAAGCGCACCACGAGATACTGTCCGCGATGTCACAAACTCCCCAGCGATGGGATAAGCGTTCTGATAGTTTGACATTGAAAGATGTTTCGGGATAGCCCATTGATAGTTGATTTACCCATTATAAATGGTGATTTACCCATTATAAATGGTGATTTTCTATTGAACACGTTTTTTTTTTGTTTCTTCCTCCCCTCAGCCAGTGAAAAATCAGCAAACTCAGATTTACTAAAGCCTGAAAATGCAGAATCCGGAAAAAACGAGTAAGATCCTCTTCAAGTTTCCCATTTAATAAGTTTTTTTTGGTGTAGTTTTCAGGAGGCTTCTGCCCAAATGGATCGATCTGTGAAGGTGGAACCTGAAGAAAGGTCCGGTGCTCAAGGGCACTGTGAAGGGCACTGTGAAGTACTGGAGTGGTTCAGGGCTGAAATTAATTTGCCATGCTCTGTGTAAATTCCTTGGATCATTTCCAATCATTTCCTACCAAAAACGCCGCCACGTCACTGGAATGATGGTGAGAGGTGTGAAAACCACCGGTAACTATTCAGAATCATTTCCTGCGAGGTGGTCCTGGGGCGTAGCTGGCGTAACTGGCGTAGCTACGCGTAATTTCTCCAATCTTGGTAGTACCTGGTACCCTGGGTACCTCGAGAGGACAAAACACGAAAGGCATCCTGGAATCCTGTCATGTTTTCCCAGCGATTTTGCGATTTTCCTCAGGAAACCTCCTGGCGAAACAAAATCGGTTCCGTCGTTGAATTTCTTGGGGGAAAAAAATCCATGGGTTATTTTATGCATCACTGTCGGCAGTATCCTCAAAAGTGTGTTGGAATGCGAATTTTCATGAATTTTCATCACCAGTCTGTTGCTTAATCATAATCTCAACTCCCCATCTTTGTTTTTTAACAATCTTACTTTACTTACTGGTGCTTAGCAGGGAATTTTCGGGAATGATCCATAATCACTAGTAATAATCATCCCAGCAACCCCCAGCAACCCATCCATTCCCTACGTTTACAGTATATAGGTCCGGTGGCAACAGCGTCACCACGGTGTGCGCCGTGCAATGCGTGCGGAACGTGGGTTTTTCGCCGGGGAAAACTTTTACCCCCCATGGCTGGGGTTGGTGTTTTGAAAAATCATTGGATAATCGGGTTAAATGTTATTATGGGGTGACATCCATAATATATGGAATATTACTGTAAGTGTTATTAAGTGTTATTAAGTGTTATTAAGTGTTATTAAGTGTTATTAAGTGTTATTAAGTGTTATTAAGTGTTATTAAGTGTTATTATCATCCATAATAACCATTTTGGGTGAGTATATCCAGTGTCATTATCCCCATAACATTTATACATATAGAAAATCGCTGGGAAAACCATTGGAATATCAATGTGACCGTTTCAATGGGGAGAGTTTTGCAACATGACCATTTGATGGAGGTAACAACAATATTGCCATTTTATGGAATATTTTCTGCGTTATTACCCCCATAAAGTCATAATAATAGTTGGGATAATAACAATTATCCCCGTAATATAATTATGGAATTTTATGGAATACTATTATCCCTCCCATGTAATTCCAATAGTTGGGAGATGGAAAAATCGGTGGGAAAACCTTTGGAACAAGACTAGCAAACCATTATACAGGTATCGTAACAGCAAAAAACCATGCTGGGATGTACCGATGGAGGTTTTCACACTGATTTGAGGGGGATATATTAGGAATATACAGAAACATGGGATTTAGCCTCTGGTAAACTAGAATAGCTATTGAAAATGGTCCATTTATAGTGGATTTACCCATTGAAAATGGTGATTTTCCATAGTTATGTTATGTTATGTTGGTTTACCAGAGGGTAGCTGATTTAGCCATCTATGAATATATTTACCATTGGATATTGGGTATATAATCTATGGGTTTAATGAATATGTCATATTTAGCCAATACACCATCCATAAACATAGGATATCTATAGATATATGGGGTATATAAACAATGATGATCTGGTGGGGGGTTTCAAATGGCATTTTTTTTTAAAGTTTATCTACGATAGAGGGATGATTGGTTGAGATGACCAGCATATGTCTGGGATTGGTCAAAATCACCAGGTGATAGAATCATCAGGCATGAGAAATGGGGGTATAGTGGGAATATACCGTCTGGTAATGACTGTTACAGTTCGCGACATTGAAAGCTGCCCATAGAAATAGATGATATACCTATTGTTCACATTTTATGATTTTATTTTGGCTATAAGTGATATTTTACCAGAGGGTAACGGAATTCGTGGGATGTTTTTGCTATCATCTTTGATGTTTTATCGCTTTATCCACCAGAAATTTACCCTCTGGTAATTTAACATAACTATGGAACATCACAATTTTTAATGGGAAAACTCACTATAAATGGCCATTTTCAATAGCTTTTTGTATGTTTACCAGAGGGTAAGGGGAATCTGGGGACATTACGACTAGGCCATCTATACGGAATCTCTACGGTCCCCGGAGCAAATCTCAGTGCAATCCCGAGCGATCCGGGATGCACTGGGATGCACTGAGAGATCGTCCGTGTCATGAAGGGTACCTGGCCTGGTAAACCAACAAAAAACGATGGAAAGACCCACCATTTTTAATGGGTAAATAAATCCACTATCATTATCAATGGGCCATTTTCAATAGCTTTTTGTATGTTTACCAGGCCGGGTCATTCGTAAGTTGGAGAAACCAGATGGATCCGGATATGCAGATGATGAGCAGGTATAGAGGCCACAAAGCCACGAACAGAAAGGTCCAGAAAGATCTTTAAGACGACCGAGTGGAACATCATTTGTAGCTGAGTTTCCTACGGAAAAGAAGGGTTGACCCATGTAAATCTATGTTGGATTGCTCTAGGGCACCGCTCGAGACTGGTGACTCGTTTGGATGATCAGAACGAAAGTTTTTTTTTTTTAAAGCATAACATTGATTACCAACGATTTTCCATCTATTTTCCCCATGAATTTTCAATTTGTTTTGCTTGCATCGTGTCGGGAATGGGTTCCTCAACCGGCAAGTGGTGATTCCTCCCAGAATTGGAGGGACCGTTTCCAGGAAGTGGTTTTGTCTGCATGTTGTTTTTCCCTTGAACACATCCCATGAAACTCCAACTTCCAGGCTAGATCACCATTATAATTACCATCTGGTTATTTAACATAGCCATGGAAAGATCCACCATGCTATTAAGAACGGTAGTCACCATCTATTTCGATTAGGGCCATCGAAAAACCATGGCGAACTGTTAGTCATAACCAGGGGGTATAATGGAAAATCCTGTTCAAATGGATGATTTAGGGATACCCCCCATTTTAAGATTTTTAAGAAACCCTCATATGGGTTTACTTCAATCTGGTTTAATATGGTATGGGATAATACATCAACCATCATTAACCACTATTAACCACTATTAACCACTAATTAACCACTATTAACCACTATTAACCACTATTAACCACTACTAATCACCATTTTCCTATGGTTATCCACATCAATTGTCAAAAAAACGCCTGGATTCCGCTTCCGCAGCCGTCCCACTGTGGGCCCTGGATCTGTTGCTCCGCGGATTTCCGGCAATGGCTGCGTCGCGTTGGCAGGCGATGTGTGGTTGTTCAAAATCCCTGTTATATAAGTTATATAGTTGATGATGCTTGATGATTGCGGGGGATTATACTAAGCAAAATACACACACATATATATATAATATAATAATATATATTTATATAATATAATAATATATATTTATATAATATATAATATATATATATATTTTTTATAAATAAATAAATATATATATATATATATATTATATATATTATTATATTACAGATAGAGGAATATCACGAGGGATAAGCGGGAATCCCAATCTCAACCAACCAGTATCAAGGGACGACGTTGTGGGTTTTGAACACTGCTCAATTCTTGATGGTTGAATACCCGAATAGCGTAATTGTAGATGATGGTTGGAAAGGGTGGCTATATCATAATTCTATATATATATATAATTCCCAGTGGGGGCTTTATTTCAGGTTGGTGAAACTTTTGGAATATACCCCCAGGTGCGAAAGACCCGGGATGAAACTGATTTGCTGACTGTGAAATGCTAAAAACTGTAAGTTTACCAGTTGCCTGGTGCCCCTACTTGGCGAAGTGGATTCACACATAGTTTCCCTAAGGTTAATGGATGTTTTCCATGGTACAAGGTGGTGCCCCAGTTCGTGTGCTAAGTTGGTGAACATGAATATAATAACTATAAGGTTTATTATAATGTTTATGATACATGATGATACATATTAATCTATAGTTCATGGGGTTCTAAACCAACAGAAACATCACTGGAGGGGGCCCTACCTTTTAGCGATGACCTGCCAGGCCTTTTTGGCCGGTTTTGCAGCAATGGCCAGCCTAGAACTAGGCGCCACCTGTGGGCCCCACGTGGAGCGGCAAAAAGTATGGTTACCTAGAATGGGAAATACCGGGAATATTATGGGAACAGCATAGGAATATCATGGGGATTTGCAGGAATTTAATTACCACTTCACTGGCCGACCATCACTCTGATGGTGAATGTACGGCTGAGCCCAGAACGAACTTTTCAGGGCTGACGTACGAGTTGGTGGCAAAAATGGGGTTACCCTCTGGTAAACTAACATAGCTATTGAAAATGGCCATTTATAGTGAGTTTTCCCATTAAAAATGGTGATTTTCCATAGCTATGTTAGTTTACCAGAGGGTAGATGAGCACGTGCTCATTCGAGGGTGGGATTCTATTCATCAACCAGTTATACCACTCCGCCACTCATGCAGTTCATCCGCGAATGATCGCGCATGTTTAATCTATTGTTTGCGGACAGGCTGCCCTTGATATTTCCTTCAATCAACTGGGTATGTCCTCTCTTTTTACCCAGTTATAGTTCAAACAATTCACTATGACTAGCTGCTAATACCACGGTCATATTCCTCCACTAAGTGGGTTTGACCATCAAGAAATTGATTTGTCTGAACATGTATGCCCCAAAACCAGATTCTTTTTGAGATTTCATTGTTTTTTTACAGGTTCTTCGATGGTAAGATCCCTTGAAATGCGTGGATTTGGAGGTCTTCCCACCTGTTCCCTACGCTTTTCACCAGGTCTGGGCTTCCTCTTCAGCGCCCCGGTCACCCTGCGACCGGCCGCGCCACCACGGCAAACCGCTGCCTTGGCGACGGCGGAGGGCAGCAGGATGCGGGCCGGGGTGGAATATGTTTATCAAGGAATCATTACCCTCTGGTAAACATACAAAAAACTATGGAAAATCACAATTTTTAATGGGAAAACTCACTATAAATGGCCATTTTCAATAGCTATGTTAAATTACCAGATGGTATTCATCATTATTCCAGGTTTTTGATGGATCTATTTTTGTGACTTCTTCCCTTTCTGTGCTTTTTTCTAAACTCAATGCATTTGTTTTTCCAAACAGGATATGTTTGAAACCATGGTTTGCTTTCTTTCTCTCAACGTTTGGTGAAGAACGGTCATGTTTTTTCTCAGACATGTTGGGTGAGTCGATGCTTCACAACGAAGCAGAAACTGCTGGCGCTCCGAGGATTTTCAGCCCAGTAAACGGTTCAATGCCAAGTGCTGTTGGTTCAATTTCCATTTTTGCCGGGTTCAATCAGAAAGGTTCATTTTTGGTTTCTCAAGTTGGTTGGTCAAAAATGAACCTTTTTTTCGTCAAATCACCAAAATCAATTTTTACCATTTTTGCCGGGTGAAAAAAGGTCCATCTGTTGGCTAAATCCTTCATTCTTTTCGTCAAATCACCCATTTTTCGAGGTGAAGATCTCACCTCTGTGACGCCGCACCCAGGACGAGCCTGCTGGGCTTCTCAAGCCTAGCCACCCTGGGCACCCTTGGTGCCTTGGGCGTGGCCGGCCGGGCGTGCCTTGGGCATTGAAGAAGCGTATGAAAACTAAGGATTTCAATGAGGTTTCAATAGAGTTAGAACTGGTTATAGTAGTTCTATGTAGTTCTTATGATTATCATTAGCCATTAGCCAATACGATATTTCATCATGTATTGAATGTTTATATGGATTTCACTGAGATTTTTAAAATCTTTGTTTTTTTAGTACTTCATCACTTTGACCAATGCTAACTTACGATAGTGTTTAGTCATGAGCCATTGATATTAAATGAATTGGGTATATCATTAATGGTTATTTAACATAGCCATGGAAAGATCCACCATTTAAATAGGTAAACCATCTATTTCTATGGGCCATCTATACCATGGTTATTACCATATGGTTATTACCAATCTATTACCATTAGCCATTGAAAATTCTCCCATTGAACGGTAGGGTTCATAAATCTGTGGTGAAAATATCTGGTTTTCATGGGGGTGAAATAATCATTCAAAAAATATAATGGGGGTTAATATCTGGTTAATGGGGGTTAATGTGGTTAATATCTGGTTTATAATCATTGTTTAAGTGTGGTTAGTAACGTGCATACCGCGCGCTAATAATTGTGTATGTGTGGGTTACAACTGAGAGATATCCTGGTATCACAAAAGGTGGATACTTAACCCTGAAGTTGATAATTGGAAAGCACCATAGTGGTCAAATATCATATGAATGATTCAAGGTTCAAATCGGATATAATCGGATAATGGACGTGACTATCGTAAGTTTTTGCGGTTCTTAGCTATCCAATGGGACAAACATGGGGATACCTTGCCGGAGATTTTTGTGATGGGACCTGCATCATTCTAGAGCCATCCTGGTGTACTCTCTGGTAAACTTACAAAAAACGATGGAAAGATCCACCATTTTCTAGCTGGGCAAATCAACTATTTCGACTGGGCCATTTTCAATAGCTATGGTAATGGCTTCAAGTTGACAAGTATAGGGATGTAGATCATCCAATTTCTGGATTTTACCAGAGATAACGTGGATGTAACCAGCAATTTTTGATTCTTTTATATTGTAAATTGATTTAAATCCATTGAACCATTGGGATATGAATAATTACCATTGATTATGATTATCCGATGAATTATTGGGATTTTCGAAAAATATCTGATCATATGTAATCCCAACAGTGATGGGTTAATCATGGCTTATTAACCATTCATATCCCATTCGCCCATTTTCCCAGGCGCTCAACACGCTCAACGGTGCCGCGCTTGGCGGAGCCCAACGAGCAGCCGCCCGGGCAGATTCCGCCCGTGACTTGGCGGCTTCGCCATCACTGAAAACCATTATTTATATGGTATTTATGGTATTTATGATATGATTAACCAACCAGCCATAATTAACCAATGATTAACCATCATTAACCATTATTAACCACTATTAACCAGGATATTTCACCATTTATGATATGATCCTAAATTATTTATATGGCATTATATTATGATATGATCCTAAATGATTTATTATATTTATCTATGATATTATGATATTTTTTAATGGTTGCATAATTATAATAATGATATTTTTGAAGACCAAGATAATGATATTTCAAGAGGGGATATTTATGATATTTTATGATACGGGGATAGCGATGCAGACCATAGTTTATAAGACAGGTGTGATGAACACGTCCAGAATGTCGTTTTTTTTTTTTCCCCTCTCCATTACTGAAAACAGGTTAGCCTCTGGTAAACATACAAAAAGCTATTGAACATTGCCCAGTCGAAATAGTTGAGTTTTTCCATGAAAAATGGTGGATCTTTCCAGTTCGTTTTTTGTAAGTTTACCAGGCCGGGTAGCCTTTGTGAATGGTTGGGCATGGGTGATCAAAAAGCTACTCCGTTGGATGATCCGCTGAAGGTGGTAAGGCTGACGCAGGACTGGAGATAGTAGGTCTCTATGATTAGCCTCCGGTAGTGACTAACATAGCCATGGAACATTACCATTTACGGTATAGATGATTTACCTATTAAATTTGGTGACTTTCAATAGCCATGTTAAATTACCAGAGGGTATGATAGCCCAAACTGGGAAGTGAATATCCAAAACTAGTCCAGTTTATTTGTTTCTGGCATGTTTACACTTTTACCAGGGTATGGTATTCAGAGGGAGAAATTGGACTTCGATTGGCCGACATGGAAATATTTGCAGGCAAAATGGGACAATGAGAGTACATTTTGAAAAGAAAGCAGTGCGATTTCTTTACATAAGAAATAAGGTTACACCAATTGCATCCTAACTATATAATTAGTAACTAAAAAATTGTGTTACTAATTTAGTTACACATTTTTGCATCCTAACTGGAACTCATTATTTTCGCCCCATGATGAGTTGGCAATCCTCAGGTGAACGGGCCAAAACCGGTGGATGTTCCAATAGTTCCAATCATATCTCCAGGAACGCATGGTGTGACATTCCTACAACATTTCAGTGGTACTTCTTGCATATTTTTTCTATCATCTTCCCCATCTTTCGCCATATTTGCCATATTGGCCTGCCCCCACTGCGGGCTCCCCGCCGTTGCCCGCGCCGCAACGCCCACACCCCTTAGGTGCGCATGCCGATGGTCGCCACGGGCAGCGGAGCCATCGACGTGATGTCCAAGTTATTGCAGGATCGCATCCTGATGCTCAACGGCCAGGCGCCTGGAAGGTGGATGGTGGATGGGCCCTGCTGGGTGCGAGCACAAAACCCTGCTGGGAATCCGCAAAAAAAACAACAGAAAAAGCAACACATAATCCATTTACGAACTAGTTCACTAGCAAAACCATGGAACAAACCGAGCCCATCACACTTTTGCGACTTATTGCAGCGGCACTAAACGGCAGGTGAACGATGAGATGGCGAACGTCTTGGTGGCACAGATCCTGTACCTGGCCAACCAGGAAGTTTGTGGAGCATGGGTCGGAATTAAGCACCATTACCCAGCCGTTGGAGGAATGATAGTTTACCCTCTGGTTATTTAACAGTTTGCCATGGAAAATGGCCCATTTATAGATGGATTACCTGGGTTTACCTATTAAAAATGGTGGATCTTCCATGGCAAACTGTTAAATAACCAGATGGTAGCCCATTAAAGGTCATTTGGAATGTTAGATTAAACATGATTAAACCACCTTCAATAGATTTCAAACTTTAAGTCCATGGCAGCTGTTGATTCTCTTCATTTTTGGGGATTGCCAGAGGGTCCCAGAGGGTTTTGACATAACCCACTGTCTGGCGGCGATGCAGGGGAGGCCATTTTTGGCCATGGCAGGAACGATGATCTTTGGGAAATGTGGCCCGACGCCGCAAAAACCTGCCAAGCTTTTTTTTTTGGATTTCAATTAATATCACCCCAAGACCGAATACCATCCGAATACCATGAATACCCCATTTCTCGTGAATTTCGGTGGACCTGTCGTGGTTGGGCTTTAGCACGACATGACATCCCCAAAAATTCTGTTTTTTTTAGAATCATCAAGACCTTTTTTTGTGGCACAATGAAGGGATGGGGGAAACCAATAAAGACAGGTGGGAATATTGTGCCCATATATGCTCTATATATATATATATATGGCAAAAGTTACCTACACAACTCTCACAACGGGGTCATTCTTTTGGGGGTAAATGTTGCTAATCTGGATATTGCATAATATGGCAATGTTTGGCTCCATCTATGAGTTGGGTTGACCCGCAGTTCATGCCACTAGACACCTTTCTCTTGGTCAACCCCCCATTTTACGACCCGATTGCCACAATCCATTACGCTCTGGTAATCTCATGTGCCGGAAGACCCCGCATGTATTTCATTTGCCCTTTGGTAATCAAACATGGGCAATCGACAATCACCTATTTATGGAAGCTTTTCCCATGTTTCAAACATGGTAATCAGCATTTATAGAAGCTTTTCCCATGAACATGTTTGATTACCAGAGGGTTTTGTTGATTCTCCTCTTGACACTTTGAAGCCACTGGAAATGGCCATGTTGCAGTTCTTCCTTCCGATGATGAAGCTGTTCATTGCCATGTCATTCCTTCAGAGGCACAATGCTCTGGTAAGCTTATGATGTCAGATAAACCCCCCAACTTGTTTCCTTCAGTTTCCAGATTGACCTCCGTTTCTAGTGAGTAACCTCCGATTTATCTTCCCTTATAGCAACTCCCAAAAAGATAGAACATACGTTTCCTACCAAGATAGCGGTAAATTCAACCCTTTCGTTTTTTCTTTTTTGGTTTGTGGTTACTATCATTGGGATAGTTATGGGTCCTCAGTGATAACCAACAATGCTACCTATCACTGGGTGTTTACCTTCAAATATCTTCAAATATCTGGGTAAATTATAACGACCTCACTGCGACCTCACTATAATCATAGTTAGTAGGGGGAATCATCCCAAAATGGCCGAACTATTCAGGGTAGTGAAATATTATAATTTACCCAGAAATATCACCATGTTGGTTATGCACATCCCTATCATTGGTTTAGCAGCGTCGAGGTGGATTCCGCTATCTCAAATTACCGCTATTTATAGGATCATTCCACTTGGTAACCGGTTGTTAACCATACTTGTTACCTTCTGGTATGGTAAACAGCCACACAACTATGGAACATCACCATTTTTAATGGGTAAATCAACTATAAATGGGCCATTTTCAATAGCTATTTTGACATAACCAGAGGGTAAAATTATCCAGTTACTAATGGTATAATCCCACTTCGGGGGCTTCTCAACCAGGGTTAGTAACCAGTTACAATGCGTGGGATGATTCTCCCAGTTACAATCCTCTCAAATTCACCAGTTCACCAAGAAGACAGCAATCAAACATAGCCGGGAAATCCCCAATTCTTCTAGATGATTTTCCCAGCCATAAACCTCATCTATTACATTATTAGATGATTTTCCCATGATTTAGTTCGAAGATTTTCACCATTTTCCCACCCATTGAAGTTCGGGGTTGTTTCTCATATTTCCCACCGATTTTCCCCATGTTTTTCCCATGTTTTTCCCATGAGTTTCCCTCCAGTTAACGTGGGATTTCCCACGTTGACACTAATTGGAGATCCACAGGACTCAGAGAAGGACATCACCATCTACATCAATTCCCCAGGTCATGGGCGCTGTGAAAGTTTTGGATGGAGTTTCTCCCGGGGGGAAGTCATTGGAAAACGAACATAGCTATTAAAAATGGCAATTTTTAGTGGGAAAACTCACTATAGATGATGATTTTCAATAGCTATGTTAAATTACCAGAGGGTAACTTTCTTTTTTTGTGATCTTCCAAAGTGAACTAACATCCAAACATGATATTCTAAGTCGTAACACACACTCACACACATATATATATGATATCACAATAAACTTTGGCATATATATCTGGTTGGTGGTTTGGAACATGAATTTTATTTTTCCATTCAGTTGGGAATGTCATCATCCCAACTGACGAACTCATATGTTTCAGAGGGGTAGGTATACCACCAACCAGATAGATATATATATATATGTATTATATACATATGCCTATGGTTGTTTCAATACGGACATGGTCATCCATGACCTGGGTGATTTGGGGTACCCCCATTTTAGGAAAGCTCCAAAATTCATGTGGATTGATGGCGATGAACCTCTGGTAAACATACAGAAAGCTATTGAAAATGCCCATTTATAGTGAGTTTTCCTATGAACAATGGTGATTTTCCATATTTTTTTGTTAGTTTACCAGAGGGTAACTGGTGATTGCTGGTGATTAGTGGTGTGATTTTGGTGTATACCGAATGCACTGGGATATTGCCATATTAGTGGTGATGAATGACGATATATCCCCAGAAAAAACCGGATATATCGTGCTATTGGACATATTTTGGAGATATTTTCCAATGTGGTACAGTAATATCATCTATCTATATATATATATACACATCTGATTCATATATCTATATCTATATCTATACCTATATCTATTTAGGCATATTACTCTTCTTATTATTATCATCATTATAATCATTATCATTACAATTACAGATATTTCCATATTTACTATATTATATATATCATCTTATCTTATCTTATCTCATCTTATATTATTATATTATACTATATTATATTATATTATTTCATAGTATATTATATTATATTTTATTTTATTTTATTTATGTATATCATATCACAATATATTAATGATATAATAATGATACTTATCATTATCTGTACATTTTTTCTGTACCATATTACAAGATATGATATACATATTTCTGTACACTAGTACGCGGTTTTATAGATATTTTCCGTATTATATGTATATATTTAATCTCACATTGAAATATACAAATGTACAGATAATGATGTTATGTACAGAAACGATTAATATGTATTTTATGTATATAGATCTGTACATGATGCAATATTATATGCATAGATCTTTACATCAACAAACATTAATCAACAATAATAATAGACATATAGCAAATATACTATCAACATCACCAAACATAGTAAATGTACTATCGACATATCATGGTGATTGTGATATGTACAGATCTTTACATCACCAATTTCATGTACAGATCTTTATATTGGGATATTGCATGATGCAAAAAATCACATATTATAATCATATAGATCTATATACATATTATATCCATATATTATCAAACCAATAAATAGATTATCCATATCATCCATATTATCTTCCATATTATCCATATATTATCCATTAATATTATCCATTAATATGATCCATATTATCTATATTATCCATGTCACATAAATCTATATATGGACTAGTATTACTATATATATTATCTATAAATGTTCATATATATTATCCATATTATCTATAAATGTTCTATTAAATGTCACATAAATGTTCTATATATATTATCCATATATATATTATCCATATCATCCATATTATCTTCTATGGTGCACTCTGGAGATTTATGGTGCACCCTGGAGAAATGTCACATAAATCTCCAGAGTGCACCATTTCTTGGGTCAAACATCATCGCCGCCCAGCTTCGAGGTGGCTCCGTCTCCGCGGGGATGGCCATCTACGATGCCATGCAGTTCGTGCCCTGCGCCTGGGAAGCGACCGATTCGGATCCGTCCGTGATTTTTGGGTCCATGGATGGGAAAGAACTGGGGAGTTCAATGGGGATTTTCCTGGATTTTCATGGAATTTAATGGATTGTTTAATGGATTTTCATGGAATTTACTGGATTTTGATGGATTTTCAATGGATTTTCAATGGAGTGTTTAATGGATTGTTGAATGGATTTTGATGGATTGTTTAATGGATTTTCATGGAATTTACTGGATTTTGATGGATTTTCAATGCATTTTCAATGGATTTTCAATGGGTTGTTTAATGGATTGTTGAATGGATTTTGATGGATTGGTTAATGGATTTTCATGGAATTTACTGGATTTTGATGGATTTTCAATGGATTTTCAATGGATTTTCAATGGATTGTTTAATGGATTGTTGAATGGATTTTGATGGATTGTTTAATGGATTTTAATAATTGTTTAAGGGATTTGAAAGGGATTTTAAAGGAGTTTTAATGGGTTTTGATAAGGGGATATACCATGATAACTGGGAATATTTCTATGGAGATACAACCTTAAGATATTGGAGAATTGCAATAGACTTGAACATACTAGGTGTTGGAGTTGTTTAGAAAATCAGCGTCAACACCTGTTGCAATATTTTTCGATTAGATCGTTGGATTTTTCACACTGTCTCCAGTCACAACTGGAGGTGTAAAACCTGTAGGTTTTTGGGGATTGTTGTTGTAATACCACAGCATTATTGGAGTTCGCCGCACTTTTGCTGAATTACCCCTTGGTAATTTAACATAGCTATTGAACATGGCCATTTATAGTTGATTTTCCCATTAAACATTGTTATTTTCCATAGTTATGTTAGTTTACCAGAGGGTAATGTTTTAACTAACTAACCAATTGTAACGAAGGAATAGTAACCAAGGTTGTAACCAATGGTTGAACCAATTCATTCCGATCTTGGAACAAACATTGTGCCAATGCAAAAAAAATTCGGCTGGTTGGTGGTTTCAAACATTTGGATTATTCTCCATTTCATATATGGGATAATCCTTCCCATTGACTTTTATATTTTTCAGAAGGGTTGAAACCACCAACCAGTCGGACATGCACCCAAAGTTGAAAGCTTAGATCTGAAAATCGGCTGTTTTGATTTCACAATGTTTTGAAACTATCAGAAGAAGACGTGTCAAATCATTGATGGTGAGATTGAAACCTTTGCCTCTCAATGATTAAACGTTTACGTAACCAAGTAACTCCTGTTTTTCTCCCTTGGCCTAGAGTAGCCAGCTACAAGCTCTGTATCAGAGCTTGTTTCGGATCTCATTTGTGCCATGGTCAAAACATGGGTTGTTGTCCCATATTGCAGGATGGGCATCAATCCATTTTCACCACGGATTTTTTTCGATTAACTTTAAGCCATGATCGAAAAAGGATTCCCAATATGGGATGGCCATACTAGGTTACCACATCCCATGGTCAATTTGACCATGGCACATAGACCACATTATAACACCATATTAAGAAAAGTATATATTAATCCCATATGAATCCCATATTAATCCCTATATATTCATGATATAAAACCCAACAGTTTGCTATTTTTCACATGGCCAACATAGCAGTTGATTTAGCCATTTGAAGTGGCGAGATGTGATCCCTCGAGGCGACGTGTCCACGGTGTGTTATGGCATGGCTGCCTCTATGGGAGCTTTTCTCCTGGGAGCAGGCGCTGAAACGAAGAGAACTGGGATTTGGTTGCAGAAAATGTTGGTTTTTGTAGGAGTTAACTAGCCAACATCGGGGGATGTAAGCAAGAAAAATGGGGGTTTAGCCATGAACAATGGATTTCTCACCTCAAAATGATGGATTTATGATGATTTATGTGGATTTCACCGATTTGACATTCGAAACTTGGTAGTAAACAAACAAGTGATTTTTGTCCCAAACAGGAGGGTGATTCCCCACAAAGGATCATTTATCCAAACATATCCAAACAAACTTGGGTTTCTCACCCTCTTCCTGGGAGAATGAGGATTTGACCAGAAAGACATCGCGATTTATGTTGAGTTACCTTATTTTTGCAGGAGAAATTGGGATGTAGCCCTAAACAATCAGGATTTATCAATAAGTTGCCTGGGGGAAATTGGAATTGAACCAGGACACACGATTTCTCCATGATTTATCCGAGCGCTATGAGGGCCAATTCATCGATGGGACCCACGATTTCGTCGTCGGAAAGTCCAAAGGTGCCGACGTCCCATTCCACGAGGGGTCAGACTTCCGGCCCCATTGGCCCATTGGCCGTTTGCTCCCTGAAAGATTTATCCTTGATTTATCCAGTGATATTGGCGATGAAATTTCCCCGTTGAAAAACGAGTGATGGACTGGACCCCAAGAGGAAGGACCAGCAAGATGATGAACTTGTTTACTCTTTACACCATTTTACAACGATCGGCTGGTGTGTTCATACTCTTGAAACTTTGTAAATGGGTAGTAGTGCTGCTTAGATGATTTTGGGATTCGTTTATATATTTTTTGGGGGTGTAGCAACTGGCCACTTTCATCCCCACTAAATCGCTGGGAACAGCACCGGATTTAGCTCAGCCAGTTCCTCCGACTTGGAACCAGCGGCAGGAACCAAGGGAAAGAGAAGGTCGCTGCCCAATGCACGCATCATGCCCTTCAGCAGCACAGCCAGTGGTGAGTTGAGTGAGTTGTGCACCGATTTACAGGATTTCATGGCCAATTCAGCAACTGAAATGGAGATTTAACCAACAGACATGATGGTATAATGGGGATCTAATGGGGATAACTCGGGATATAATGGGTATAGTTACGGTATAAAATCAATGGGTTTTCATGGTTTTTCAATACGATATCATCAATTGACCCATGTTCAAAAAGCCATGTTGGTTGATGACTATGGTGGTTTAGCGTCCTAGCAAAGGGTATACCTGGAGGCAGCAGCTGGGGAAACTTGGGAGGCTTTTTGACACATTTTAAGATCTGTCTTCAAATGACAAAAAACGCCTCGGTAATCAAACATGGCAAGGGAACATCCACTATTTATAGCCATAAACTTACTGATCTTACTGGTGCTTAGGGAATTTTCGGGAATGATCCATAATCACTATCAATGTCATCATCCCAGCAACCCCCATTCCCGTCCGTTCCGTAAAAAGCACCAGTAAGTAAACCTCTATTTATCGTAGATTTTCTGCCATGTTTGATGAGAGGCGGCTGCTGCCGATCCCATATTCTGGGATTTGTCGGGAAAATAACGATGCTAGCGACAACGGTACTAGTATGTAACAAGCAAGATGATAAATGTCTTTAAGGAAACTAACTTATTATAAGCAACTTTTTTTTTAAATAAATCATATATCATATGCTTTTGCATGTAGTAACAAGCATAACATTATGATAGCTATGATCAATACCGTACCTGGCAGGGCCTCAAAGTGAGACCTGATAAACAACACATGTAGCATTGCGAAGCATGGGATTTATAGTGGTCATCAGATTTTTCCATGCTTGATATATCCATAAATCTGGGTAAATTATAACGACCTCACTGTTCTCCCTCACTGGAAATCATGGTTAGTAAGGGGAATCATCCCAAAATGGGCCTTAATTCAGGTTAGTGAAATATTATAATTTTCCCAGATAAATGGGAAATATGGGAATATGAGAAATGATATGTCCATATTCCCATCAAGCACTGTCACATGATATGATAAATGGGAAATATGGGAATCCAGATCATGTGCAAAGCCATTCTGGATTGATTTTTGCATCGGATTTGGACCATTCAAAAAAAAACACACACTTTTTTGACCATGGGACATGTTACTTAGATTTAATTAGATACCGAGGTTTGTAGAACTAGAAGTCACACTTCTCCTCTGGTAATCCCAAGCTGGCACTGGAATGATGTCACTGGTGATGAATATAAAATCCCAATAGGAAAAACCATAAAATCCCAGCTGGGCATTCATAGATGTCATTTTTTTTTTCCCGAAAAATACCATCATTTTCCGGTCATTGAACATTTTTTATGGTCAAAATCCATCAGACTTTCGGAATTTGGCGACTGGCAGTTGGCTGGCGCCTGGGCACCAGCAACGACCTGTCGGGATGGGCCGTGGCTGGCCACCTGCTTCTGATACCGAACTTAGCTAACTTCGTTTTTGGGCGTTGAACTAGTAGCGGGAAACGGGCGTTGAACTTTATAGTTGCTTAGTTACTAGTTATAATCTAGTTATATACAGATATTGAACTAGTAACTAGAATTCATGGGGGTTTCAAGCAACTTAGGGGTTGATTTTGGTGAAGTTGTTAAAAGTTATACCAGCTGGTTTATATAAGGGACTCTTATAGCCCCATAACAATCGTACTCATCATAAGAATCACTATTACTAACATATACTAACTGTTATACGCCATTTTTGAACAATAACAAATGATAGTCACTAAGCCAGTAATAATCACAACTATAGTCACTAATTGTCATCATCATCAACCAACAAGCAAGATAACATAACTAAAAAAATAGTCACTAAGCATCATCACTAATCACAATTGGGATATTACCATAATACCGACTAACTAGTAGTGATGTTACCACCTACTACAAAAAACGCTAATGATATACCAACATCGTCATTAAATACCATGTTATACCATACGAATGGTACCATCAATTATCAACATACTAATGATCATCCATAATCATTATATCAATTATATATCCATAATCAATGTTATTACCATAGCTAATTGATATACTAGTCAGTAGTGATAATATCACTACCTATGGTAGTATGACGAACCAATATCATTGATATACTAATGATATACAAATGATCATAGGTAGTGATATACAAATGATATACTAATGATCATCATTATTAATCATAATGAACCATTATTAATCATCATCAATCATCAACCAGCCAACCAGATATCATGAGCATATCGCTATTAACCATTATTAACATATGGTATTGAATCATTATTAACATAACCAACATTATTGAATCATTCTTGGTGGTCAACACCATTATTATACCATTATCATACCACTATTATTATATTATACCATGATTATACCATCATTTTATTATACCATCATAATCATTAGCTGGTGATATCACTATTAACCACTATTATGAAAACCATTATTATACCACCAACCCACCGGCGCCTCAGGATTCACCAGCCGCTGGGCGGTGCCGGTGGCCAGGCCGCGGACATTGAGATTCAGGCGCTATGATTTGACGTGGAGAATCCCATGGAAGCATTATGATTTTGGTGATTTTATGATGGTAACCCAACCTGGTTATGTCAAAATAGCTATTGAAAATTGCCAGTTATAGTGGATGTTCCCATTGAAAATGGTGATTTTCCATAGTTATGTTAGTTTACCAGAGGGTACCCAACCTGGTTATGTATACAAAAAGTGAACTGGAAAATGGCCCATTTATACATAGTGAGTTGTCCTGGTTATGGAAAAACAGTGAGCGAACTGGAAAATGGCCATTTAGAAATAGTTGATTTTCCCATAAAGAATGGGGATGTTCCATAGTTATGTGGCTGTTTCCCAGAGGGTAATAGTGGTTAGTATCATGAAACACTATCAATTTCCACAGTTTATGCTGGTTCAGGATGGTTGATAGCGGTGAACAATGGGATAGAGTATCAGTTATAGAATTTATGATGGTGAATAAGAGTGGTTAACAATGGTTAGTAAGCATTGGTGGTGGTGAAGACTATTCACTATTACTATGATGGTTATTAATATGGTCACTGATTAAATCGCCATCATGATGTTTGATAATGGTTTGTAATTAATGATGAAATCAATTTATGATGCTTAACAATATGGTTAATATTTATATATAGTGGTTGCTAATAGTTCATAGTGTCATGGAAGCCTAGGGGGGTCTATGGGGGGGGTGTCTGGATAAGCCTGGATAAACTATGGATAAGCCAATGACGACTCTGTTCTGCAAGAAATGTTTGGAGAGGTTGGTTTGTTGTTATTTATTGCAAAATTGAGAGGTACCAGGATTTGGCTCGAGTGGCATGGGCAAGGCTTGCTAGAAACAAGCAAGCAAGAACAAACATGCAACTTAAATCTCCAGGGTTAGACAGTCTATTGGCAAACGCATGGCCCATGTATTCAAGATAGTGAAAAAGAAATCAAAGACTCAAAGCGGGGAGGCGACACCCAAGGCAGGCAATTTGCACGCAAATAGGTCACTTGACCTGGATTGGGGTGAGAGGATAAGGGCTTAATAAGAGCTTAATAAGGGCTTATCCACTGCTTAACCCTAAGTGGTGGATAAGCAGTGGAGAAGCAGGGAAACAGCACCTATTTGACCATAGACCCCCCCCCGAAAATGACCTTCCGGGCACCAAACCCACACAAATCCTCAAAACAAATATATATAAACCAAAAACCATGCGAAACCACTCAAAATCACAGAAAAACATCAAACGTCACGGAAATGAAACACGAATCACACAAAACATCGCAAAAAAAACAGAATCATCAAAAACCATAAGAAACATCTGAAGACAATCGCCAAAACCCACCGTTAGATCTCATATTGTCTAGAATTCAGCGAAGTCTACAAAAACTTCGCCACGGTAAGATGGCCAGAAACAATCCTCTTCCTTGTTCAGATGTGGGCTTACATCATCCATCATTTTTAGGATAAGCACTGGATAAGGAAGTTCAGCTATCCATGGGGAGTAAGATCTTAATAAGCCCTTAAATGATAATCCCTTAATATGGCCTTAATAAGCCCTTATCCAGCCTTAATAAAAATCTAATAAGGCCCTAACAAGTGGTTATACTAACCAGCTCTTACCAGTACCTTATATGATAAGCTCATAGACCCCCCCCATAGACCCCCCCCAGACCCCATGATAGTGGTTAATGATTTAAGCCAAAACAAACTAGGAATGTAAGATGAATTGACCCAGAAAAATGGTGGAAGAATGATGAGGGAAATAGACTGGGGATATTTTTATCTTTGAATCTGATGTACTCTATGTTTTTGTTATATTTATATTTATATTTATATATCTTATTTATTTATTTCATATATTCATTTATATATATATACACACATATATATATGTATACATAGCATCACGGCGATTTCACAAGCCCCCACAGGTCGGTGATCCTCTCAATGTTTGGTGATTTTCCATAGTTTTTTGTATGTTTACCAGAGGGTAATGCCGCCATTGATTCACAAGTTGCTTTGACAGAAGTTGCCATTTTTCTGGTTGATATCCCCACGATTTCCTTGCACGAAAGTTTAACCAGCAACCCACTGGCGACCTTCCCAATGATTGGTTGTTGCTGGTTAAACCCTATTTTTAAATGGTTAAATCCACTACAAATGGCCATTTTCAATAGCTATGTTAGTTTACCAGAGGGTACGGTGCTTTAGCCTTTGGCAAGCAGACATGTATATGGAAAAACCACCAGATGATTTTTCGCAGAAAGCCATGGGTTTTTCCATATGTGAATTTGCCACAGGGTAGCCAACAAATGGTGGGATAGCACCAGCCGCAAATGGAAGGTCTGTTCAAACCAACTGGTGAATTCGGATGCGTTTGAACCAACAATTTTCTACCAACAATTCCTGGTTTCTGATCAACAAAACAGGCATTTTTTTTGCCGAAATGTTCGGGGACGGGGGCCAGCAAAAACTGGGGTTGGATATTGACATTGTAGGCAGGAACTGGGAAAGAAACATATATGTTAAGTAACAAAACTTGGATATTCCAGGAAAAAGATAGGAACAACTATTTTATACAAAAAATGATGCCGACAGTTATCAACAATGAACTTGGATTTCAAGCAGCAGCATTTTTCACACAGAATCAGAATTGGGTTTGCGGTTTGGTACTGCTCTCTCTCTCTCTATATCGTTCCTCCTGTTTTCTGTTTGTCTCTCAATTTCTCTTATGTTTGTTGTTTGTCCATCTAGAAACAATCTGATTATATAGCTCTAGATTGGTATTTCACTCGTATCTCCCTTCAAATGCCATGAATCTGAATGGGAAACCAAATACGGCATTTGGACATTTCAATCAGCAACATGTTGAATTTCAAACCATTTCTTGTTCTTTTCAACAATCTGGACCAACAAAAACCGGGATTTCTGATCAACAAAAAAAACATTATCATAGAATATCACCCAATTTATGTTCAGATCAGAAATATCAACAAAAACCGGGATTTCTGAACAAGATCCTTTTTTTTTGGTTCAGATCTTTGTGATGCATTGACTGATACCGTAGAATTGTTGAGTCTCCCCGATGGCCATCGCAGGCAAAGGAGATCCTCTTCCTCCGAGAGATCCTCAATACGTGTCTTGGTGCTGGCAGTGCGTCCGGTGCCGTTGTTCGGTGGTTTCATGATGGGTCGGACAAGTCAACTGGTTAGGGGATTTGACTTTTCAACAGCAACTGGTTGGTGGTGACCGGAACCATGGACTTTTATGACTTTCCCATCATATTGGGAATGGAAAATCATCCCAACTGACGAAGTCCATCATTTTTCAGAGGGGTTGGTGGTTCAACCACCAACCAGCCATAATTAACCAATGATTAACCACTATTAACCATCATTAACCACTATTAACCATAGGAAAACCATAGGAAAACCATGGTTCAACCACCAACCAGAGCAAAGCTGGGGATGTATCATCCAGCGAACCTGCGGATTTCACCATGATTTTTGACCCGTAAAACCGAGGATTTACCCAGTCATTGGTGGTTGATCCCGGTGTTTGGTGGATAAAACAGCGACAGAAACGTGGGTAATTTTCAAAGCAAGAAACGGATGGACTCTACATGACTTCACCGATGAAGATGGGATGTAACCACAACTTGTGGGGTACAGTTATGGTAATTTAACGTAGCTATTGAAAAATGGCCATAGAAATCGTGGATTTTCCCATTAAAGATGGTGATTTTCCATAGCTATGTTAGTTTACCAGAGGATATATCTAAGCACAGTACTAACTACGAAGGACGGATATACTATCACCACCCCTTTAAGGCTACTTTTCAGGGGGGGACCATACCAAAATGTAAGATACATTTTTTTGCCCCCCCCCAAATGCAAAATTGGTTGCTGAACGTCCCCCAGGTGTCGTTTTCTTCAAAATGTAAGCTTACATTTTGGATACGCCCGCCTTAAACTTGTGATGATGTACTCTGAAACTGGCGATGTTCACCAATAGAACTGGAGATTTCAACTTCCGGTCATCAAAGGTGGCACTGTAGAAAATGCATCATTTACAGGTGATTTTTTCACAGCTAGAAACCTCTATATATAGATATACAGGGTTTCCCAGCTTGCACTGTTCATCCTACTTGGGATATTTTCTTGAGATAAAACCACCAATAGCAATCATGCCATGGTATCATAGGCATGTGGAGCCACCAGATGTGCAACATAGCATGTTTCTTCCATGGGTACTGCCACCATGGTTTTATTTTTGTCCCCTCTGCACCGTCAGAAAATATGGTTGGTTTGTATGTTTTCCTTGTCCTGATGTTTGGAATTGAAGGATTTTTTTTCCCTGATTTTGTTTCCCTTCATCTCACTCTGAGCCAAACCAGATGATAGATAGGTAAATGCGTTTTATAATCATGTAACTATATTATATGAATTATCATCATGAGTCTATCAATGATAGATAATTAAATGCATCATGTTAGCTTCCATGATTCTCCCATTATTGGCAATTCAAGTCACTGTTGGTGAATTGGACCTAGAATATATGGTTGGACTTCAATTTGAAATGGCTCCGGGCGACCCCTGAATTGGCAACTTCTATTTGAAAAAAACGTTGAACATCTTCTATCTTAGTGTCTTGAAATATACATTACAGTACATTGGGGATATATTCTCCCATTATGGATTCCAGTAGTAATCTCCCACTAATCATGATATATTCCCACTATGATATGATTATATATGTATATATACATACATAAATTTAAATATATAAATAAGTATATATATATATATGTATACACAGTACACCCTCCGGTAAACTTAACATAGCCATTGAAACTCACCATTTTGAATAGGTAAATCAACGAACTAAATGGTACATATTCAATAGCTATTTTGACATAACCAGAGGGTACATAAGGTGGTGACTCCCAAGTTAACCATTATTGGCCGTTAGCAAAATCATCATTAACAGTATAGATAAATATATATATATATATGTATGTATATATATAACCAGAGGGGTATAAATATATAAATATATATATATAAACAGAGGGGCATATTCCCACTATACACCCTTTTACATATGGATTCCCAATAGGTCATATATATATATATTATATTCCCACTATGATATGATTGATTATATATATATAAGTTAAATAAATAAATAAACAAACAAACAAATAAATAAATGCACACACACATATATATATATATCTATATACATGTGTATAGATATACATTAATGTAGACTATATATACAGTAGAATATGTAGAATATTAGAATATTAGAATATATATATATGTTTATGCACAGTATCTGGATTCCCAAGGTTTCACATGGCATCCATTCTCCCGGTTTCCGATGGAGGTACCTGGCGGATTTCACCGGGAAGCCCTTGGAGGTGGTGGCGGAGGACTGCGACCGTCACTGGTTGGGCTGGACGGACTCGTTGAGAGCGGTGGTTGTTCGTTGGTTCCAACAAGGTGGCTTCATGATAGTTATAATCATAGATTATACCATGGGAGAATAGAGGTTTAGTGGCAGTTTCATATGGGTTTTCTATGGTTTACCCTCTGGTTATGTCAAAATAGCTATTGAAAATGGTGATTTATAGTGGATTCACCCATTGAAAATTGTGATTTTCCATAGCTATGTTAGTTTACCAGAGGGTAAACCATGATTCTAGTGGATAATAGTGGTTAATAGTGGCCAAATTATTCACATAAATTATTACTACCATAAAAGGTTAATGATAAAGGTTATAAGCCACTGTATATGGTAGTAATAGATGGTTTAATAGATGGTTAATAGTGGCTTGATAGTGGTTAATAGTGGCTTAATAGTGGAGAATGAACCAACTATAAACCATAATTATAGTTAGGTGCATTACCATGGCTTAAACTATGATTATGTAGGTACCACAATAATCCATAATCATGGCTACTATATAGAATAGGCCACCTTTTATAATCCATAATAAACCATAATCATGTGTCACAATATCATTGTTCAAATATTTGAATGAGGATGGTTAGGATATTGATAAGTATAAACCAACTATAAACCCATAATCATGGTTAGGTTCATTATCAATGATTATTAAATAGATTGATAATGATAATTATAGTTCATCAATAATGATAATGATAATGGGTCCATAATGATAATTGATAATGATAATTATAGTTAGGATAATTATCATCAATAGCCTGACCATCATTATATCCTAACCTTAATGATATTTGAATGATGATGGTTAGGATATTGATGATAAGTATAGTTCATGATCTTGGGACAATGATATTTTCATGATAATTATAGTTTATCATGATTAGTGGGAATATATCCATGATAAATGTGTGGGTATTGAAGATGGATATTTTTCATGAGAATGATGGAATATGATGGAGAGAGAGAGATGGTGGATATTTTAGCATGAATACGATAATGATGGATAATGATATTTTAATGATAATGGTAACAATGGTGGAGATTTATTGATTTTGGATGGTGATGGACATTTTGAATGATATGTTCTATTGCGGAAAAAAAGTAGTTACACTATTTTTTGAAGGATATTTTTTCTATTTTGGAAAAAAGTCAAAAAATGTGTTTTTGTTAATGTTGGATTTTTGTTACTTGGTGTTTTTGATGCGTGGTTATCAATAGCATTGCGATTTCGATTTGGTAAGGGTTTGATGATGATGATGAGAGTGATGGTCTTTAGATGCTTATCCAACCGCACAAGGCTTTTCTCAATTGCAAATCGCCTAGATGATTGTCAATCCGACCAGCATAATCATGAGTACTGTATCATTATCATCATTAGCAGTGCCGCTATTCCAATTCTTGAGTCTGATCCTCACGTTTCTTCTTTTTGCAACTCTCCTTCCTATTAGTACTTTTCCCTTTCTTCTTCCTACCTTTATTCTTCTTGCTTATCATATCATCGTTAACTCTGTACCATTTTTGATATCATCATCGAAATCAGCAGAACTAACATCATCACATTTTTTTCGAACATGTGCGTCATCAAAAGTTAATTTGGTATAATGTGGGTAAAACAACAATAGACCAGCCATTTGGGAATGTTAAAAAAAACCACCTATTTATGTTATTTTGGGGGATGGTGCACATGGCACTGTTTTACCAACATCATTGTTACCCTCTGCTTATTTAACATAGCCATGGAAAATAACCCATTTATAGATGATTTTCCTATTAAAACCTCCATTTATACGGGATCTTCCATGGCTATGTTAAATAACCAGATGGTATGTTTGATCATCATCTTATTCATATGATTTCTTGGATGCTTTGGACTCGATGCGCGTTCGTTAGGTGGCACACGTTGCGTTCGTTGCGTTCGTTGCGTTCGTTGTTCACCGTGCCAATTAGTTCGATATACCTACGGTAAAACCCAATTATAACTTACTTGCCGAACTAAAGTAAAACCAACTTGTTTAAGAACAAATCAGCTATATCAACTATCAATGCCTTATTTTTTGGCTGAGTTTAAGTCCAATTATCGTTGCTTAGATCATGGACGCCACCTTGCAGCTGAGGTGATTACTACATGACGCCGGAGGAATCAAAACAGTGGCTCGAAAGCTTTCAGTTCCGATGGTTGATTTGACCACGGACATGGGGATTTCTCATGGAATTTAAGGGGGCTTAACTAACCATGGCTCATTTATAGATGGTTTACCTATTAACTAACCATGGCTCTACCATCATGAAATGGTGATGTAGGATTTTACCAATCACATTGATCTGATGGGATTTATATGGATAAACAATGATAAACATGCTATGACCTGATGCTGCAAACATGGGCCTTTTGCTGATTTCAGCAGAGAAGTAGCTGTAGATTTTGCGGATTTTTCCAGACCCTTAGACCTCGGTGAAGCTGAGCTTCGTTCCAGTTTGTGGATATGTTCACCACCGTTACCCGGCCTGGTAAACATACAAAAAGCTATTGAACATGGCCATTTTAAGTTGATTTACACGTCAAAAATGGGAATTTTTCATAGCAAACATGTTAGTTTTCCAGAGGGTATAGGGGTTGTGTATCGCAACATGGGGGGTAAAGAACCCAGCTGGCTGGGAGTGTGGTTCGAACCCTTCAACATCCATCGTTAAACAGCTGGATGTCACGAGGAATGATGATTTTTTCCCCATCAGAAACAAGGATTTCATCCATGGTTTCCCATGATATGAGACATATTTATAAGGAAATCATGGATAAAACCATCCCATCATGAAATGATATGAGAATATATGAGACAAAATCCCATATTCATTTACATGATGGGATGGTTTTGATGGCCTAGATCAGGGGCACTAAGTAAACCTTGGCAAATGGGAGCTTAATGTGTTCCATTTTTATTGGCCAACATGGGAATACTTGACAGCAAACTAAAATTCTGCCACTTTGTGATTTTCGTAAATACTCTTTGGTACTCTAATTGACTAATGCTATGGAACATGGCTCATTTGGAGATGAGTTGCCTATTATTCATGGTAAGCTATGTGCCATCCATACCGGCCCTATGAATCCAGCGAAAGGCCGCAAAATCCAACGACATGTAAAATCCTCAAATTGTGTCGATTAAAAGTTTGATGTTCTGATACTGGCACTAGTACATACCTCAGACCTCATGTCATTTTTTTGGATGCCTTGATGCTGTTCTGATACTGGCTATTGCATGAAATGCCGGCAGTTTTCATTTTTTGTGCCCCCTTTCATAACACTGCCCGTCGCGACGCAAACGTGCCATCGAAAAGAAATGCTACATGACATATACCAGCTGGAAACAAGTCTGTTTTGGAGAGTGGCACTTTTTTGATTTGGAACATGGCCATATGGTGGTTTCCTAAAATGGGGGGTATCCGGGTACCCCCGAATCATCCATTTCTAGATGGTTTTTCCATGGTTTTTCACCATCCATGTGGGGGTACCCAGGTACGGCATCATCGACGAGGTGTGGCTTGGAAGGGTAACACAATGCCATGACTTTACCAGCCATGACTGGGAATGGGAAGTTTATACCACCTATATATTTATTGTGATGACTGGGGGATGGTGCACATGGCATTGTTTTATTCACAGTATTGGTATTTTCATGGAAATTCTTAATCACAGATGGAATGCCACATGAAGTTGTGAGGTGTGTTTGGCTTTAGCATGCTTTAGCCAATATTTGAATATGACATTTTATTGCGTATTTAGCAGTGGTAGTATTGCTTGAAATTATTTGAACATGAATGTCATAGAATACCAATGTTTGGCACATTTTAAAATTACGTGCATCATAGTATTAGCCTGTTGCAGATTGGAAACGTTCATATGCGTTTCTACGTACATTCACCCAAAAAGTAATTCCCAACATATTCAACATATATAGACTATTATAGACTAGAGGCATATCAGCTTAAAGCATGGTGTCAATCATGTCTCACACTAAAAATATGTTGAACTGATGTTTCGCATGTTGGTATTTTCGTTTCGATATTTGGGATGCTGATCCCCAATGATTCTGTTATTTCTATGGGATGAGTTGAATCACCAATCAGGAAACATATCAGCCTCCAGTAATCAAACCTGGAAACGGGAAACCACCTACCCTCTGGGAAACATACAAAAAACTATGGAAAGATCCACCATTTTCTAGCTGGGTAAATCAACTATTTCTATGGCCATTTTCCATAGCTATGTTAGTCATTACCAGAGGGTAGAAGGTTTTTTTCCCTGCAAACCATGTTTGAATTTTAGGAGGGCAATCCAGCACAGCATTTCAAACTTTGATCCTGATATAAACTTAATCTTTTTGGGGACCCCGGAATATAGATGAATATACAAAAAAATCCCTCTTAAACCCATATAAAACCCAATTTTAAACCACATTATCCCATGATTATCCCATTTTAAACCATATTTATCCCATGATTATCCCATGATTAAACCATTCTTAAAGCATCTAAAATCCCTACCCTCTGGTTATTTAACATAGCCATGGTATAGATGGCCCATTTATAGATGATTTTCCCATTAAAACCTCCATTTATTAGGGATTTTCCATGGCTATGTTAAATAACCAGAGGGTAAATCCTACCTTTTCCGGGACATTTTTGACATGTCCCAGATCCGGACGGATTGAATCCGCAGGTCATTGAGACCAAGAGCTGGCCGCGCCTGAAGAAGCCGGTGAAGCCCGAGCTGCAAACGGCCCGATAAGAGGAAATCACAGCCATTTGATGGTGGTGAAAAAAGTGGGTTAATAATGATTAATAATGGTTAATAATGGTTTAATAGTGGTTTAATAGTGGTTTAATAGTGGTTTAATAGTGGTTTAATAATGGTTAAGGAGATATACCTGATTGGTGGTTTGGAACATGTTTTTTTTTCCATTTCATATATTGGGAATGGAAAATCATCCCAACTGACGAACTCATATTTTTCAAGATGGTTGAAACCACCAAGCAGAATAACAATGATAACGTGCATTGTATTACTTGTCACATATGTTCTAGAATTTATTTATATTTGTTTGTTTATTTGTATAAACTACGACGTTTTTCTTTTCCACGGTCGCCCCAAAAGTGTCGGGGGCTTCCTGCCACCGGGCATGGCGGTGCCATCACTTCAAGGGCCGTGGGCCGTGGCAGCTGCAGTTCACCCAGGAAGAGTGGATTCAAGCACAAGCCTAGGGCATTCGGCCCTAGGGGTTTATGAATCCATGAGTAAGCACGTGTTTGATAAACTATATGTTTCCTATAGTTTCATAGATATTTTTAGTTTCATAGATATTTGATATTTTTAGGTTCGTAGATATATTTTAGTTTCATAGATATTTGATATTTTTAGTTTAGGATAGTTTACGTATGCACATGATTTTACTTCTTCGTTTGCTTCACCGTCACGCGGAACGGGAGCATCTGCCAGCAGCGTTGCGCGACTCTCGCGGCGGAAAAGAATCGCGGGAGCTCCATGCATTTCTAACCACAGAAAACCATGGGAAAACCATAGGAAAACCATAGGAAAATGGAGGTTTACCCTCTGGTTATGTCAAACATAGCTATGGAAAATCACCATTTATAGTGGATTTTCCCATTGAAAATGGTGGATCTTTCCATCGTTTTTTGTATGTTTACCAGAGGGTAACCAGTATTCACCAATGATGTTCCCATAATCCCATCATATCATGACATTAACAACCATCATCACTTTAATATTCCAATTTTTTTAAGAACCTGTGGATAGCTAGAATTCTCGAAATCGCTTCAAACAAGCTACCACTGACATAAGTGTGCACAGGCAAAGTTGCATAATTAATTATATAAGCAGATCCTATAGATGATATTTGCAATTGCATCTCCGTTTCTTATTCCGTGGTCGGGATCTATATTTCTAGGGTCGGGAACCCCCAACAACTAGATGACTTTTTGTCCACATCTTCCAGAGTGAACACATGTTAAAGCCCTGGGTTTTTGATGGATTCCCAGTTTTTGTGAGTTCAATCATGCGAAGCAGATGCATTTTCCATGGTCAGATAATGTCAGATACTCATTTTCAACATCTAGAAATATCGAAAAAAACTGACATTGACATCACTTTCAACTAAAATCACCTGTGGCATTTGGTACCCGTGCAAAGGCACGGTACGCAACACACTCAAGACACTGCATCCCAGGTACTACTGTTTATCCATTCAGCTGGAAGCGGCAGGCAGGGGCCGTTTCGCCGTTTCGCCGGGCCTCGGGGCGAAAGCGCTCATGGAGGTAGGACCCAGGTGATGGAAGGGATCAACAAAAGTGCGGATTTCACCAAGATTAACTTTTCCCCTGGGTAGTTGGAAGGGATCAAGGAGTTACAGCTTTCAGGAGAACTTGAGTGTCCTAAAAAAACACTTCCTGACAATTTGCGTTAGCCTTTTCCACGGGCAAACGGTGAAGGGGGCACAGGTGGAAAATGAGTTGCATCAGTTTAGAGAGCCTTCTCTTCTTAGCCGGAAAGTAAGTATATAAGTATGATGATGAGCATAATGGTGGTGGTGGTGGTGCCCAATTGTCCCATTTTCATCCATTTCCGTGGTGCTAGCGGCCGCACGTCAGGGCCGCTGGGGCTTCTGCTTCGGCCCGGAGCTCCCAGAGGGCTCCCAGACGCCCCGAATTTCGGCTTCGCGTTCTGCAAGAGATTGACTTGTGGAGATTTCGCCAGCATGAACCTAGGATTTACCCTCTGGTAAACATACAAAAAACTATGGAAAATCACCATTTTTAATGGGAAAATCAACTATAAATGGTCATTTTCAACAGCTATGTTAGTTTACCAGAGGGTAGCCAGAGATTCAAAGAGCGAAAAAAAATTGGATGGAGGAATGGATGGATAAAATGACAGAGAGATAACTAATCATCAGCAACAGCCGAATAGAGATATCGACAGCAAAAGACAGCATGGTGAATCGTGCCGGTCAAGGCATAGCGCAAGATCTGCGTTCCGAGAAACGCCGGCCAACATGGATTTCCTTCGGAAAAAGACCAGGTCTTTATCAGTTTTTGGTCTTTCAAACGATCAAGGACGCAACTTTTTGCTGGTCACCCGCCTTTTTTTGGATGGTTCAACCTACAAGGCAGTGTCCCCTACTTACAAAGTTGGTTCTTAAACCCCATGAATAAGTTCGATCTACCAGAAACTTTCGTGAATTGTTAGTGAACTAAACCAACTTAGCTAACATGAATCAATTCTACATCACCGTTTTTTGTTTGTTCACTCCCCCCCTTTGGATAGGCGAAATCCCGAAATGCCCATCCACGAGGCCTCTACTGCCCCTGCTGTCCTTCCGCCTTTGTGGCTCCGCGGCGCATCAAGTGGCGATGAAGTGGCTGAAGCGGCACTGGCAGGCGCCCGGATTGTACCAACTGGTGGAGGGCAGGGATTTTTCACTGATTCCAGCATGAAAGATGAGGTTTCACCATGGTTTAACCATCTATTCTGGTTGGTGGTGACTGGAACCATGGAATGGATGGATTGACTTTCCCATCATTAATTGGGAATGGAAGTCATCATCCCAACTGACGAACTCACCAACCATCATTTTTCAGAGGGCTAGGTGGCTCAACCACCAACCAGCCAGTTTTTCAACCAATGATTAACCAATGATTAACCACTATTAACCATTAATCACCATTTTCCTATGGTTTTCCTATGGTTTTCCCATTAAAACCTCTATTTTTCATGGGATGATTTTGGATGATGCCATGGGACATTTTACCACCAAACCATGGGACCAAACCATGGGGATTTTCCATGGGGTTACCGGTGGTGGATTTTCGTGGATGTGCCATGGTAACGATGGATGTGAAATTCCCACGGAATTCCCAAAATCACGGTTGTGTTTTTTTTTTGGAATGGATCCATGTGGGATTTTGAAAAAAACACCATCTAAAAACAAGAGATATACGATCCATATATCATATATCATACATCATATATCATACACGGAGATATCATTTTCTGATCAGGCTATCATAGTTTATCCCCCATATACATCATATATGATACACTCTGGTAAACATACAAAAAACGAACTGGAAAGATCCACCATTTTGTAGCTGGGTAATATTCAACTATTTCGACTGGGCCATGGCTTCAATAGCTTTTTGTATGTTTACCAGAGGGTATTTTTGGCAGATCCTCATATCTCAATGTGTTGAATAGGTTGAATATGTATTGAATATGTTGATAACTAATTCAGACTATAACATAGATATTACATAGATATTACATAGATATTTCTATATATGTCTTAGATACTTCAAAACCACGTTGAAGCCAGTTTAACTGTTGCTGTATTGACCCTCCGGGACGACATGAAATCAAGTGATTGGGGATCTATGTGGGGATTATGTGGGGATTTTCCATGGGAAAACCATAGGAAAACCATAGGAAAACCATGGGAAACCCATAGGAAAATGGAGGTTTAGTAAGGTTTACCCTCTGGTGATGTCAAAATAGCTATTGAAAATGGCCCAGTTGAAATAGTTGCTTTACCCAGCTAGAAAATGATGGATCTTTCTAGTTCGTTTTTTGTATGTTTACCAGAGTGTATCATATATGATGTATATGGGGATAAACTATGATAGCCTGATCAAAAAGTATCCCATGATATCTCCGTGTATGATATATGATGTATGATATATGATATATATATAGTATATACACATAATATATATATAATATACATATATATATAATATACATATATATAATATACATATATATATTTACATGAATATCATATACGATGTTGGTTCATGATATCTCCATATTTTTCTCTCTTTCGCCCTGGGCCTTCAGAAGAGGTGCTCCTTCAACGCCATGCGGCATCTCCCGCGGCACCTGCGGCGCCCGAGAAAAGCCTTGGCTTCCCTTCGTCACCCGGATTGATTTGTTCATAGAATTGGATGATGGTAAAATTTACAGGAAAACCCCCATATTTCATGGGAAAATCTATGGTTTCCTGTAGATTTTCCCTTAAACCAACCCATTGATTTGTGGGATCATGAGGATCTCTGTGGTGCTATCAACCAACACTGTCCCATCATAGTAGAGTGAACAGTATTAATATTACCCTCTGGTTATGACTAACATAGCCATGGAAAATCCCAACCATAAATGGAGGTTTCGTTCGCTGGGAACATCATCTATAAATGGGTCATTTTCCTTGGCTATGAACAGTATTACCCTCTGGTAAATTAACATAGACCCTGGCAGATAGGGGTTGGAAGATTCGTTTCCATTAAAACGAGGCTATGGATTCAGGGTCTATGTGAATTTACCAGAGGGTAATATTAAATATATTAATAACCATCATAGTTATTATTGGCTATACTGTAATATTATAGTTATTAATATTAATAAGCATCAATAACAATCATAGTAACCACTATACATTATATTAATAACCAGTCATCACCATTTGTATAGGTATAAACTTACCATTCCCAGTCATGGGTGGTAAAGTCATGGCATTGTTTTAACCACATGACATATCATCCATACCCTCTGGTAAACGTTTACATAGCTATGGAAAATCAGCATTTTGTAGCTGGGTAAATCAGCTATAAAGGGACCATTTTCAATAGCTATGTTAGTGTACCAGAGGGTAATGGAAATGATCACACTTATGGTTCATTGTGGAATATGTGGAATAGTGGTATATCCCATATATGGTTCATATAATTATGGACATATTACTATTGTTATAGTGGTATGTTGTGGAAAATATGGGAATAGTAATGATCATATCCACTACCTTGGGTTCAAAATTGTGATTGAATGAGATACTGAGATAATAATAGAAGATATACCTGCTTTCAAAAAAACAACTATAATGAATGTTGTTTCCCCCGTTGAATGAATGATAAACACCCACAGAAACTCTGCTTTGATGGGATTCCGGCCCTGCTTCGGAGCCATTCATATGACCTGGGGACCGACTCAGAGAGTGGATGTGGTAATGATGTGGTCAACAAAAAAGCACCTTGGGGGCGAAAAAATCGCGAATGTCAAAAAGTGACTATTACCTTGACATTTTGGGATATCTTGGTTCGTCTCATTACCCTCTGGTAAACGTATACAAAAAACTATGGAAAATCACCATTTTTCATGGGACAATCAACTATAAATGGCCATTTTCAATAGCAAACTGTTAGTTTACCAGAGGGTACCTTAGGCATTCCTGGAACTCATGATCCACTTTTTTTCTAGGTTTACGGTCTGCCTGGGTTTCTTTTTTGAACGGCTTGCCCCACGCGGATGTTGAACAACTGGGAAACTACCAGCTGTTTACACCCAATATGTCCTAGTGTTTGGGTACATCCCAAGACACGGATATTCTGGGTACTCAATGGCACTTCTGCATTTTTTTGGGCTGCAGATTTTGACATTTTATGATTTTTTGATGAAATCCGAAAAACCTGTGCTGACAGAACCATAGGAATAACCCCTCTTTCTGCTGTTTGATTTCCCATTGTGGCTTGGTTCATATCCCTGAATTTGCTGACGGATTTGTAACATTTTATGACCTTCATTTCAAGAGACGACTTGAAGGGGCAAATGCCAACCCGCATGCATCCAGATTCTGGTTGTTTCAAGTCCCAAGGTTTGCTTGTGGAATCTTCATTTTGATATATATATAATAATAATCTAGATGGTGATGGTTCTGATTGGCCGTTTAATATATCTATTATATATATATATATTCTATTATTATTCTTATTGTTATCATTCTTTGTTTAATTTTCACCACCAGAACCGGATAGTGACCCCAACCAACGAGCAGATTTTTCATTGGGTTGAAACGATCAATCAGTATATGTTTCCATATGATCATATAATCACATATGCATATATAACAATCCTTCACAAGTTGATGAGTTTAGTCTTTGAATCTTTTGTACCAATTATGTGACAGTTTTTGTTGACCCAAAGCCGAAATCCTTCAGGTGTTCCCCAAAGCCTTGCGAAGAGCCTCCAACGCCGCAAGGTGGGGAGATGTGGGAAACCTCAAGATGGGGATACGAACCGGTCAGCAACCACACTATCTATATATATATATATATTTACATAATTATCCATATAGTTAGTTCACATTAGTTATTGGTTCGCCCATTCATAGAATTGGTGGTTGCATTCTCAAGTTCCGGCCTGTGGGGCGCTAGTGCAAGGCGGTGCCCATATCTGCCATGGCAGTTGGTTAACCTAATCCCTGAGCCATATCTGCCACAAACCATGGGAAAACCATAGGAAAACCATAGGAAAATGGAGGTTTACCCTCTGGTTATGTCAACAGTTAGCTATTGAAAATGGCCATTAATAGTGGATTTTCCCATTAAACATGGTGATTTTCAATAGTTATGTTAAATTACCAGAGGGTAATTGTAAAAAACATGTTGCCATTTGAGGGGGCCCTGCCTTATCACGAAAGCTACCTTCAGCTGAAGTTGCTCCTTGCTAAAGGCTAAAGCTTTTTTTTGACAGAGGGCTTCTCCAATCAGCAATCATCAGCATCATCGGCATCATCAGCATCATCATCATCATATGACCATAATATGACAATTTTCACCATCAACTTTCCAAATGTTGTTTCGTTTCTGTATCAATGTTCCTACGGTATCTTGGGATCTGAGCAAGTTCCTAGTTGCAGCTGGCTGAAGGTCAGATGCCATGCAGGGGAGTTGACAGGGATGTTTCACCAGTGAAAACGGTCCCAGAAATGGTGGAAACCGTGGCAGGATTTACTCAAGAAAGCTACCTCACTAATGGTGATTATATGGTGATTTATGGTAGTTTTGTTGCAGATTTCAGCAGATTTTGGATCCTGTAGATCCTCCATGGTCCGGGAGAAATCAAAAAAAAAAGGCGGTTACTCAGAGGGAGAGGGGAATGATTCAGGCGAAGGATGAACGTTATGGACATTCACCAAGCAGTGAGTGGCTCATCCCACGAATCGTTTTTGTGGGTTAGTTCACCCCAGTGATTGACATGGGATAAGTAGGGTTAATCCACGTATAATTGGGGTAGTTCACTAACCCACAACCACGATTCGTGGGTAGTTCGCCAATACTCAGTACCAATAATCTTGGTGGAATACCTGGTTATTATTAGCTCCACTATGGATATTATTAGCTCCACTTACGATTCGTGGGATGAGCCACTGGAGAAGCCAGTTGGTAGATCCACATGTTTGGTTGAATGGCCTCATCCAGGACGAGACCCGAGTGCCCGTGCTGCAAATGGCCTGCGGGGCGGCCCAATGCGGGATGAACGGAACGGGGCTGACTCGAAAGCCATGCGAAGTCTGGCAGGTACCCTCTGGTAAACATACAAAAAACTATGGAAAATCACAATTTTTAATGGGAAAATCCACTATAAATCACCATTTTCAATAGCTATGTTAAATTACCAGAGGGTATTTGGGTGAAACCTGGTGAAACCTTCTTGGATTTTGAATGTTCTGAAATATGCCTCGATTTTTGCAGAGCCAATATGAAATCGCTGCACTTCTTGAACGGGTTTCTTATGATATTTGCCAGAACCTCGTCGGAAGAGCCCGTCAATGAAACAGAGTGAGCCAAGCTTCCTAAAACACCACAGCGTGCCAGTTTGACTGAAAGTGCAGGCAAACACAAACACTGGAATAATGATCTCATCTGACTGATATTTTTCAGGGATTATCGGGATATATATGGATATATCATGATATATCAACCCAACCAGCCAAACATGTTTTGCTCCGAGTGTAGCAAAGATTGACCATGGTATGGCCGAATTCTTTGCCATTTGCCACCTTTTTTGTGCCACAAAGATGGCTTGAGAAATGGTCACCATTGGCCATTGGGATTGATTTATACATTTACACATTACGCACATCACAAAGAATACTAAATGAGAAGATTTCCATTGCCATTTTCTTAAATCACCGGAGGGCATATATATATATATATAGTGGCTGGTGGTTCGGAACATTTTTTATTTTTCTATTTCATATATGGGATATATAATCCTTCCCATTGACGAACTCATATTTTTCAAGATGGTTTTTTAACCACCAACCAGTATTTTTCGCAGATATTTGCATGAGGCCATGGTGCAGATTGTTTTTTATCCTTTGCATTGGATTTTTGTCGGAACGTCGGACCCCCCTCGTTCGATTTGATGGTCAAAACCAAGCAATTTCAACCGTAGATTTTTTTTCAGCAAGACGAGTCCATTGCCCGAGTCCATTGCCCGAGTCCATTGCCAATTTCCTTGACATCTCAGAATCAGACACACACACACATATCTATACATACATATATCTATACATAGCATAATTGCGAATGCAAAATCCCCATTATGTTTACACCCCCATTCTTATGATGTTGAATCTTCATGATATAGTACCACCCAAGAAGATAGAAAAGGAACATCCTAGTAAAACAGGGATTTCGGCACCTTGTTGGGGGTTACTATCCCTGTATTATCCCTATGATATCCCTATTATTACCCTCTGGTAAACATACAAAAAACAATTGAAAATCACCATTTTCAATGGGTAAATCCACTATAAATGGTCATTTTCAATAGCTATTTTGACATAACCAGAGGGTAAACCATAGAACACCCATATGAAACTGCCACTAAACCGCTATTCTCCTATGGATTGATAAAGCAATATCCCATGAACATTCCCAAAAATTATCCCTAGTCATGTTGGTAAAGCAATAGTAAAAGAAACCAACTTGGTAACCATCAAAATATGGAAGTTTGTTCAAATTTGCCTTGCTAACATTGGATGTTTTATCTGCTAAACCATTAGAACCACACACACACACATATATATATATATATATATAGCATTATTAATATTCCCATATTTATTATCATTATATATATATATGTATGTATATAATTACCCTCTGGTTATTTAACGTAGCCATGGAAAATTTCCCATCTATAGATGATGTACCCATTAAAACCTCCATTTATAAGGGATTTTCCATGGCTATGTTAAATATATATGCACCATTATTCACCATATAAAACCCATGCAACCGGCCACGAACTCCCTTTCCGATTTTGAAACACCGCCGGGTAGGAGCATCAGCACCGATGGCCCGGGGGAGATGGACTCGGCGCAGAACAGCCCCATGGATGCTGAGGCGATGGAGATCCCAATGGGATGAGTTTACCCGGCCTGGTAAACCTACAAAAAACGATGGAAAATCACCATTTTTCATGGGAAAATCCACTATTTCAATGGCCATTTTCAATAGCTATGTTAAATTACCTGAGTTTTTTGGGAGTGTTGGAACACAATTGATCCAAATGATAAGGAATTATATCCCAATTATATCCCAATGAAACCCCTTATTTTCCATGGGGTCTGGAAGATGATTTTCCTATATTACATTAAAAGTGGTTGTTTGGGGTTCTAATGTTGAAATGTGTCGCTCAAATCACCATTGTGTTTGATTGTTTGATTAGACCACCATTCGGTTCAATGACAGCAACAACCATGCCCATGAAGATCATGAAGTAGCGAAATACACAATCTCTAAGTTTAAGAATGGCCCATCTTATGCCAATGTGCAAGGTGAGGCCACCCCATTGATGTTTGTTGCGTTGCAAACCCATTACCTAGTTCGTTACATCCCCCCAAAAACCCAACAGTTGTATGAATTATAAACCACCTTAGCTATGATAAATACACTATTATAGTGCATTTATCATAGCTAAGGTGGTTTATAACTCATACACTATAAATCACCACGTTTCTTGTTTGCATCCCCTGATTTGTGTTGGTGAACTCCCCTTTTCACCGGGGCCCCACCATGGAGCGCGCGAAAAAACAAATCGTGGCAGGTGCTTCTTCCGTCGTCCAAGGGAATGCCGTTCCACAATGGATTCCTCTACAAGTTGGGCGCGGAGTCCTGGAAGTTTGGGGCGCGGATTCGATGGGGAGGATCACTATGGCATCTACCCTCTGGTAAACGTTTACATAACATAACATAACTATAGAACATCACCATTTTGAAGAGGTAAATCCACACGAACTCAATGGGGTATTTTCGCTATGTTTGACATAACCAGAGGGTAAACCTCCATTCTCCTATGGTTTTCCTATAGTTCCTATGGTTTATCTATGGTTTATCTATGGTTTATCTATGGATATCTATGAATTAAGCAACGCCCGAGGGATGAGGGATTTCACCAGAAAAGACGCTGCCGCTGGGATGCAGTGGTTCAATGGGGGTATATCCAGATGCATTTTTTCACAACCGAAGCCTGGCACGTCACGGTGGTGAATAGAGTTTTTTTTTTTTAAAAAAATCCCGAAATGGCCAAACCTTTGGTTGGTGAAATTGCTTATAATTCACCCAAGGATTCAAAAGGTATAATTCCATTACTCAATGTAGGCATTGAGTACTCCGTCACGGAGCGGGAGGCGTGATGAGAAAAACAGACGTCGAGCAAGGCTGAGGAGCTGAAATGATGGCTTATATCCAACAGAAAGGGGAGATCAAGAAGTACTGCAGGGATCAATTCATCAGTATCAGCTCATAATTTTTCATCGTAATTTATCATTGTTCAATTCATGATGGGTTAAACTATAATTTATCATGTAAGTGTGGGTTTAAACAGTTCATCATCGTAAGTTAAACTCATTAAACATGCCACTTTTTGGAGCATGTTTAACCCATCATGGCTGGGTTCCTGGGTTCCGCCGAGGGGATGGTATCCTAAACACCACTTGGAACCTGCGCTACTTCCTGCTGATTGGCCGGGGGATCTCAGGGGCGGGAGATGCCGGAGGCGGGTGTTCTGAGAGAAGCTGAAATTTGTTCTGGGAAGATTTCCATCGAAGATGGGAGGAGGAGGAGGAGGAGGAGGAGGATGATGATGATGATGATGATGATATGATGATAGAAAATTAAAAGTGACTATTGGGGTGGATTGAATGATTGAACCTCTTTGAAACCACGGAAAATCTCAGCCAGACGAAGATGGAGCCATACCGGTGAGGCATGCGTGCAGGAAGTCGCTAGGTTCATAGCCATCGTTTCGCAATCTGGGTAAACCCTGCAACCTCACCGGTCGGGAAGATCACTATTCAAAATAGCCGAACTTGTCAGGTCAGTGACAAATCCATTAGTTCTGTTTATTGGTATGTCATATGTAATTATGCTGGTTGGTGGTTTGGAACCTTTTTTTTTTCTCACATATATTGGGAATAATACAATCCCAACTGACGAACTCATGTTTTTCAGAGGGGTAGGTCGAAGCCACCAACCAGATATGGTATTGAATACTACAACTGTGGAAAGATCCACCATTTTCTAGCTGGGTAAATCCACTATGGATCCCAGTACGTCATATGACATAGGGTCATGTTTTCCCTGACCATTCACTGAGAGGAACAACTTGAAACGCCCCGTCCTCGATGAGTCCTCGATGAGTCCTCCACCTTCGCCACTCATTTTGGCGACCCCAAAATGGGAAAAAGATGCCCACGAGATGACCATCACCAATAGGCCAATTCTTGTTGGGTTTGTTTTAAATGTGGTATATATATATGTCTAATGATGTCTAATGATGTCTAAGTATTATGTTATATATATATATATCACATTTAAGCAACGGTGTGTAATAATCGTCTTATCGCAAGTGATTGTTTTCAAGTTCTCTATATATATATATTATGTATTAGTATCATATTTTTTTAGGTGATTGTTTTCAAGACACATGAAGCCACACATTTTACCGAATGTCATTGGCTTCGCTCGCAACGAAGCGGAACGGGTTCCGTTCGAGGTCAAACCCTGCAGTACTACCGTTCTCAGCATGAAGCCCGACCCAGAGATGCCATCAATCTGAGTGCCCCGGCGGACAGGACAGGACCCATGGAACTTGGAATATCTAAATTGGAATATCCCAAACCACCAACCGAGCTGGGAAGACTAAAAATCTGTTTGGTGGTTTGGAACATGAATGGATTATTTTTCCATAACATATGGAATAATATAATCCCAAGTGACGAACTCCATCATTTTTCAGAGGGGTAGGTGGCTCAACCACCAACCAGATATGGTATTGAATACTACAACTGTGGAAAGATCCACCATTTTCTAGCTGGGTAAATCCACTATTTCTATGGGTCATGGCTTCCAATCTATAGATATAAACCCTCTGGTTTCATCAGACCTGGCTGGAAACTCCACCAGACGGGGATTGCCCAGCCAGCCATGTTTGATTATTGGAGGGCACAGTTTTGAAACTACCCTGTGATTATGACTAACATAACCATGATATAGATGGCCCATAGAAATAGATGGTTTAAGTTTACCTATTAAAAATGGTGGATCTTTCCATGGCTATGTTAAATAACCAGATGGTAATCATCGCGAAAATCCGGGCCGCTTTGGGGTTGAACATTGGGAAAGATGAGGAAACATACCTTCCGGCAAACTATGGCAGATATGGAAACCGATCAAGACTGGCCCAAAGAGTTATGAGGGCGGAGTGTCTATATCCTGATGGACTGGAGGATAATTACTCACAATGGGGATATCTGCATATATCTGCCATATTTTCCAACAAATATGGTTTGTTAATTTTTGTTCAATCTCCCCAAGTTTTGTTTGCAAAATCCTCACGGGGTTGTGTGTCAAAACACTGGTTTCTTGGTTTTCAAATTGCGATTCGATGAATCGACCAGTCTTGAATTTGGGATCAAAAAAGCTACCCTCTGGTAAACTGCCATATAACTATGGAAAGATCCACCGTTTCCAATGGGTAAATCCACTATTTCAATGGCCATTTAAACCATAGCAAACTGTTGACATAACCAGAGGGTACAACCTTTGGTAATCAAACATATATGGAAAAGCCATCAACCATACAGATCCATACAGTAGTTCGATGATTTTCGCTGTCGAAACCTCCATGGCTAGTGGCCTATTCAATGGTGGCCAATAGATGCCTTTTCAAAATGTTGAAAATTCGATGACAATCCCAAATTACAATCCCAAATTTTACTACTGAAGCCTACTTTTTGTCATACTTAATCTCTGGTTAACATGGTTGACTCAATCCCGTTCGCCTTTTTGTTGGTTAAAACTCCCGCCATTTTTGATGTGTCACCCCAACTCCACTGCCAGGTATTTGGGGTCCTAGTAAGCCACTCCCCCGGGGTCAGCCAACAATCCATTATTGGAATCGCTTCAAAGATACCAATAGAACCAGTTCGCAACCAGGATTTTGACGTTGCTCACGTGATTTTGGTGGAGTTATCCAGTAGAATGGGATATTTTGCGGGATTTGAATGGGATATTGTTTGGATATGGGGATACAAGATTTGAGCAGAATGAATCTCATACATTGATCAAATGAACTGGCGGATGTGAGTGGCTTCGCCGTGGAATCTCAATGCTCAAGCATTTCACAGGGGTTTTGCGCAGTTGATTTTGCGGTAAATTTAAATGTCAATGATCACCATTATTAACAATGAATCACCATGATTAACCATTATATGCCATTACATATATATATATATGTTATACCATTATTAACCATTATTAAACATGGCTTTCCATCGCTACTGCCCACACTTGTCCAAGTTGCAGCGCAGGTGGCGTGACGGTGGAATGGCTGCGGGATCAGAGTCGACCCTTCAGCTTCACGGTCAGCAAGAGCCGTGGAGCCCGGTCGCGGCAGATGGCTACGGCAGATGGCTACGGCAGATGGGTGTCCATGGGGTTCACCCAGAACAATGTGGTGATATTTCATGTGGTTAAAACAATGCAATAAACCCTGATATGTTCCTGATATGAATGTGTACTAATGGTTAATGAATGTCAATGGTATATGAATAGTATGAATAGAATATTAATGGGATTAGTGAGATAAACAAACAACAACTACCCGGCCTGGTAAACTTGCAAAAAGCTATTGAAGCCATGGCCCAGTCGAAATAGTTGATTTACCCAGCTACAAAATGGTGATTTTCCATAGTTATGTTAGTTTACCAGAGGGTATGGATGATATAATGTGGTTAAAACAATGCCATAAACCACCCATGACTGGGAATGGTTTATACCACCTATACAAATGGTGATGACTGGGGGATGGTGCACATGGCATTGTTTTACCTACACTAAACAAACAACAACTATGGATGAATATGGATTTATTTCAGAAGAAAGGGATTCAAGTAGAACGGAAATGGGGATAATGGGGGATGTCCAAGAGTAGGAAGTGCAGTTCCAGTGAAGCGCATAGAAATGTCAATCTTTCACCATTAAGCGGGCGAGTATCTCAACATGGGGGTTGACTCAGCATGGAAAAAGACTCGAAAAAAAGATCCTCTGGTTTTTTCTAACAACATAGCCATGGAAACTCATCATTAGCTAAAAGATCTCTAAATTGGCCTGGAAGCTTCCGGGATTCCGCGCTATCCCCTTTTCGCTATCCCTGAGGTGGTTCCCGATCCTACTGCCTGTCCGGCTGCACGGAACAAGAGGCCTCAGAATGGATGGAACGCATTCAGGCGCCTTCAAGCGACGAAGCGAAACGAAGCTTCGGTGGGTGAAATCTCCAGATTCACCTCCAGTATTTTACCATCGGGTTATGACTAACATAGCCACGGAAAATCACCATTTTTAATGGGTAATTTATAAATGGGCCATCGAAAAACCATGGCGATGTTAGTCATAACCAGAGGGTAAACCTATTGATCATTTTTCTGAATATCATGGGATTTTTAAGGTGATATCACCTGGAAATTTGGATGGTTTGATGAGAGTTCCAGTGGACAATCTAATAGTTTGCGACCAAGGAAAATGAGTAATTACTGGTTGGTGGTTTCAAACATCAATTTTATTTTCCATTTTCTATATGAATATGGGATAATCCATCCCATTGACGAACTCATATTTATGAAGATGGTTAAAACCACCAACCAGATATGGTTAGATATGGTTTTGACATGGTGATACAATGGCACAAATCGCCATTTATAGTGGCTAATCATGGTTAACCATCGTTTTGAAATTGGCCATGGGTTTACCCATGGGTCGAGTTGCCATTTTTGTTGCCATCGGACGCTCGGAGCTGATCCGTGATGGTGACCGAACACCGGGTGGGTTGTTGAGGGGACTCGATTGCAGTGGAGTTCGCGAACTTTTACACATATACTGTATATATATAATTATATATTACCCTCTGGTTATCTAACATAGCTATGGAAAATGACCCATGACCCATATATAGATGATGTACCTATTAAAAGTGATGATTTTCCATGGCTATGTTAGTCATAACCAAAGGGTATATATCACATATTTTAACATGTTCTGTCCAACCTGGAAGTTCGTCCACACTCACAATGATCATGATCATCATCGACATCACCATCATCCTCGTCACCCCCTCTCAACTTATCTGCATAAGGGATTAAACATCCACCAACCCCTCTGGCAAATAAGGTGAAGGGGGTAAATATAACATCAACTTATCTTCATAAGGGGTCAGAAATCCGCCACCCCCTCTGACAAGTATGCTGACTGGGGTAATGTTGAATGGGATAATAACATCAACTGATATATATATATATATATACAGTATATATATATATATAACTTAAAAAAATGCATATATGCTATGCAAATGCAAGTATAAATGCATATGAATATGCATATGCCCATACATATACACACATATGTATATACATATACATAAATACTTCCTTATTCCAACATGGATCAAACATGCATCCACAATTCGAAATTCCACCGACATTGCATTTCTAAAATATATCTGTGGTGAGATGTCCGTTTTTTCACAAGGATGACACGCACAAATCAAGAAGTGTCTCCATGGAATCATTAGAAGGCCAGCATGGCCCTTGCTTACGGATGATATGCACAAAACCTTTGTGCTTACTTTCATTTTGGCTCAAGAAAACTTAGCTGCTGTGCGCTGGCGGCTAACCTGGTTTCGCAGGTTATGAGCCCAAGCTTGGGTCTCTGACCATGTCGTTGTCGACGCTGCGGCGGAGAGAAAATTCGAGGGCCAGAGAGCTGACGCCTGATGGACGAGCACCAGGTGAAGATCAGGCTCAAGGCGCTCGGGCTCCTGGCCGTGGTGCCGGAGAGGGCAGAAGGTTGGAGATCGGGGTCGCTGACAGGAGATTGGAAGCCCTGTTGGAGGAGGAAAGGACTAGAGCGGCTTCGGTGCCAGTGGCTGGTGTCCGCCGACTCCGGTTGGAGGATGGGCGAGACCAAACCCGGGCCTTGGATGATGGAGGCCGGGAGGCTGCTGGTCGTGGGGCGCAAGGTGGACCCATCGGAACCTTGGAGGACGGAGCCAGAGCCATGGGGCTTGGCCAGCGTCAAGGCGGACCGATGGAGGCCTTGGATGATCCCAGAGCCAGAGCCATGGGGCTTGGCCAACTTCAAGATGCGGTCCGGCAGTCCTATGAAGTTCTTCAACAAGCTTTGGGACGGACACAGCCGGGACCAGGGCTACTAGATCCCCTTCTTCAAGGCAATGATCAAGGTGTTCAAAGGGGTGGTGTTCTCGACGACAGAGGGGAACGATCGCTCTTGCAAAGTACTCCAGCTCGAGTTCAGGCGGGCCATAGACCTGAAGTTGGACGTTCAGGAGGCTGTGAAAGCGCTGATGGACTTCGTGCCGGAGGTCAAGTTGGGGGCAGAACTGACATAGCCCCAAGAGTTTTGGATCCATACGGGACGCCTGGACAGAACCAAGGTCAACAGGTGAATCCTTTTTGGAGTGACGCAGTTCGCAGGGGTGCCATGGAACGCGCTCCTGGAGCTGGAGATCAACGTGGTTCGCCGGCCGGACAGGTTGGTGTGAGTGGCTTGACTTCTGGACGTGATAAGAATCCAGTGGAAAGCCCCAAGGATGAAGTTGAACGTTTGCGTGCTCGGATCCTGCGGGAGGCTGAAGAGGCCTTTGGCAGGGAGGTGAAGAAGCTTGGAATCTATGAAAAGGGCGATGGTGACTCCTATCACACGGCAACGAGTGCGGGTGGTGGTGGAGGTCAGTCGCAGGTTCCTCGGCAGCCTCAAGCTGATGGTCCATCTTTGGAACCTCCTCCGGGATTGAATCATGTGAAGATATCTGATGGAGCAGGCGACCAAGTAGTTTCTGAATCGCTGCGCCATCTGGAATTGCCAGGTTTGCCACAAGTTGGAGCTGAAGGAGCAGCCTTGCAGTTCGGAGATTGGCTGACCATAGCCAGTCCACTCATGTCAGACTTGGGATCATCATCGAAGAAATGGTGGGAACAGACATTGAGGGTGGCTGAGGAGTTCTATGGGCGATGGCTTGAATCTACGCCCTTGGAACGTCTCCGTCTCAAGCCCACGGTGGAGGTTGGCCCAGGGTATCAGCGCCTGGAGCAGAGGGGAATCTCAATGCTCTTGGGAATTCTGCCAGAAGCCCTTCGACGGGACATCGTCGGGGCCCGCAACGTATCCATGGTGTCAATACTCTACCGCCTCTTCGTCGTGTTCCAGCCTGGCGGAGGAGCTGAACGAAGTGCTCTCCTGAAGAACCTTACTGACTTGAAGCCTGGTAGTTCAGTGGCAGATGTCCTGAGCTCGATTAGGCTATGGAGACGATGGATTTCCCGTGCAGAGGAACTTCGTCTGACGATACCAGATTCCCTGGTACTCATGCAGGCCCTCAATAAGGTCTCTGAGGCGCTGAGCCGCATGGGTGGGAACCAAGTGACGTATCGGATCTCAGCTGTTCGTCAGGAGCTGCAGGTCGACCAAAGACCGGGGTTGTCGGAGGTCAAGGAGTTTGCCGAATTCCTCCAAGCGGAAGGTGAGGAGCTGGCATTGATGGCATCGGCCTCGACCAAGGGTGTCGGAGTGGCCGCAACTTCGAGTGGCGGTGCCGGGGGCACGTCGCTCAAGGCAGTGGCGATGTCTGGGGGAGCCAATGGAGGGCAGGACGAGAAGTCAAGGGGTCCTTGCCGCTTTTGGGGCACTTCAAACGGCTGCCGACGTGGAGATACTTGTAGTTATACCCATTTGTGGGATGGTGTCGAGAAGAAGGATCGATGCTATGTCTGCTCTGGTGTGGGACATTTCTCCAAGGATTGTCCAACCAAGAAAGACAGGAATACAAAGCAGCCAAGGGTGGCCAAGGTGAAGGGTGCTGAGAAGGAAAAAGACTCACTGGCCAAGGGAGAGCAGCTGAAGGCCGAGGAGCAGAGGCCGACTTCGGTCAGTGGGAGCCCAGCCAGGCCGAAGGTCGAGGATCCGATTCCCAATGGGGATGGATGCCAACCTCATGGACGCTCTGCTCAAGGTGCTGGTGAGTCTGCGGCTACTCTGATCAACGAAGCCACGGTGCTGTTGAAGACCCTTCGATCAGTGAAGGCAGTTAAAGTGAAACAGGTGAACTATGAACCTGACTGTGAACAACGACCAGTGGCACTTCTTGACGGTGGGGCCACGCATGGTCTACGAATGGCAGAGCCTTGGGAGCGTGGTGCCTTGGAGCCCGTGCAGGTGGAACTAGCATCGGGTTCAACCTGGCTCTATCGCCACGGCAGCCACAAGACCTTGCTCAGCCTCACCCAAGTGGAGCCGATAGTGCCGTTGCACCGATTGGTTTCCATGGGATTCAGAATCGAATGGTCGTCAAAAGGATGTAAGATCTTTCATCCCTCTCGAGGGGTCATCCAGTGCTCGCTTCGGGGCGGTTGTCCGACGATGGAACGTGGAGAAGCTCTTCTGCTCTTGAGGGAGATGGAGAAGATCGATGGATCTTCGCTGGATATGGATGCGAATGGGGTCAAGTGGTGGCAGGAGAACTTCCCGGAGGTACCTGACCGCATCATCAGGAAATTGGTGAGCCCAGTCGAGCCTTGGGACCCTGCTGCATTGCCCTGGAATCGGCATCAGCGTCGGGCACATCAGAAAAAAGGCGTGGCTCTTCATCTCTTTTGTGGGCCCAATGTGAAAAAATGGAAGGACTGTGATGTGGGCGGGCTAGAGTGGCTTTGCATCGACACCTGCCTTGGTTCGCAGTACGATTTGCACAGACCCGCAGTGTAGAGTTATGTGTGGGGACTAGCCAACAAAGGCCTCATCAAGCTGATCCTGGGGGGGCCACCTTGTAGGTCTGTTTCACGACTACGAGATGGGCCTCCTGGACCTCGAAAAGTGCGTGGCCGTGGAGCTCAGCGATATGGCCTGGATGGGTTGGATCCCACGGAGGTTGAACTTGTGGAAAACGATACATGCCTCCTGTTGAAGCAGGTGGGTTTGTGGCTGAAATCGGAGCAGGTGAGGGGAGAGCAGGGCTATGAGACTGGGTTCTTGTTCGAAACCCCTCAGGACCCCGTGTCCTACCTGCCTGAGGAAGAAGGACGAGAACTTCCCTCCTTCTTGGAGTTCCCTGAGATCCGAGCTTTGGTGGAGGAGCACAACATGGAGTTGGTGTCCTTTGATCAGGGACGAACGGGGCATGAAAGGAGAAAACCGACCAGTTTGGTCACAAATCTGC